ATCTTGTCGTTAAAATTACTCTTTTCTTGATCAGGGCTATGATTCTTCATGCATGGTCCATCAACATGGGCAAGGATATATATGTGATTGATGAATGTGCTCGGGTTAGCCCCGATGTATTGTCATCAACTTATAAATGGTAGATTAGAATAAATTACCTAAATAAGGACTGTATTTTTCAATACAAGAATATTTTGGCTTTGAATCTTGTGTAAAACACATTGATATAGTAAGATATAGAAATACTCTTATACATGTACAATGTTTTTGCTCTAGCCATTCACTTTTGTTAGAAGGGGGCACGGGTGGCCCAGTCGTCTAAGGCGCCGCAATTCGCTGTGCAGAGTTGCGTCCCTTGGGCACGCCAGAAACCTATGAACCTATCCCAGTTCGCCCCGATTATGTTTCTAGGTTTGTCAGCACCATACCCGTGCTCGTGGGTTTCACCGAAGTGGTAAACGTCTGAGACCTGCATCACTTCGGGCTTTCTTCCCACATTAAGCTGACACGCCGCGATATAACTGGAACACTGTTAAAAGCGGCGTTAAATCCAACTCACTCACTCACTCACTCGGGTTGGTCCAATATGAATTGTATACATAACCCCAGTCGCCAAAAGAGATTCACGTGCCTGATGCACAGTGAACATATTTTCCAGTTTCATAAAAGAATCCAATCAATGTGATATTAGCATACACATGTTCATTAACCTATTGACGCTTGTTGGCATATGTTTATGTTTGACACCCTAAATACCAAGGTGCCCCTTCAATAATTAGGCGAGTGTTTATTTGAAGCAAAAGATTTACCTGCACTGTCTAAAGCTAAAGTATGGGGACTTCCTCCCGTCCCTGACATTGAAACAGTCCATGATCGTTATTGTCTAAACGGTTCTCAATTTTAGTCTAAGGCGCCGCGATTCGCTGTGCAGAGCTGCGTCCCTTTGGCACGCCAGAAACCTATGATTGTGGGTTCGAATCCCGGTTCGCCCCGATTATGTTTCTAGTTTTGTCAGCACCATACCCGTACTCGTGGGTTTCACCGAAGTGATAAACGTCTGAGACCTGCATCACTTCGGGCTTTCCTTCCTCATTAAGCTGACACGCCGCGATATAAGTGTAATACTGTTAAAAGCGGCGTTAAACCCAACTCACTCACACTCTCATTTATAGTAACTCGCTGAATTGTAAACTGGGTTTCTATTAAGATTGTACACTATGTACAATGAAAAGATCATAAAGTGTTGGTTGAAAGGCAGTTGTCAATATTTAAGCGCAGAGACTGGTAAACAATGTTGAACCTCTAATGCTAAATTAAATGCCAGTTATTGTAGTAATGCAGGCTAAGTGTACAAATATCAAAAAGTATCTAGGATTTAACTAGCGTTCGATGGTGTTTGTCTGCAGCAAGCTATTTGGAATAATATAGTACTTGTTTCTATTTTAAGCAGCGATGTATTGTCATCAACTTATAAATGGTAGATTAGAATAAATTACCTAAATAAGGACTGTATTTTTCAATACAAGAATATTTTGGCTTTGAATCTTGTGTAAAACACATTGATATAGTAAGATTTAGAAATACTCTTATACATGTACAATGTTTTTGCTCTAGCCATTCACTTTTGTTAGAAGGGGGCCCGGGTGGCCCAGTCGTCTAAAGCGCCGCGATTCGCTGTGCAGAGTTGCGTCCCTTCGGACACGCCAGAAACCTATGATTGTGGGTTCGTATCCCGATTCGACCCGATTATGTTTCTAGGTTTGTCAGCACCATACCCGTGCTCGTGGGTTTCACCGAAGTGGTAAACGTCTGAGACCTGCATCACTTCGGGCTTTCCTCCCACATTAAGCTTACACGCCGCGATATAAGTGTAATACTGTTAAAAGCGGCGTTAAACCCAACTCACTCACTCACTCACTCACATTTGTTAGAAAGTGGAAGAATATATGATATACCAGGGAGTACCGGTATACGGCTGTGCCCATTTTGAATTGTACCACAAATGGAAACGGAATATAATGTTTGCTCATAATGCCCCTTCTATCTCAGAGACCTGTGAATATTACGGGGTAGAATAGGTCTTCAGCAACCCTTGCTTGCCGTAAAAGGTGACTATGCTTGTCGTAAAAGGTGACTAACGGGATCGGGTAGTCAGGCTCGCTGACTTGGTTGATGCATGTCATCGTATCCCAATTGCGTGGATCGATGCTCATGATTTCAATCACTGGATTGTCTTGTCCAGACTGGATTATTTACAGACTGTCGTCATATAGCTATGTAAGCGACAACAAACCATCCATCCAACCATCCTTCTATCTCAGACGGAGTATTATTCCGTTATATTATTGTGAATTCTCTTGCCATGAAAAGTAACTCCCCCCAACTAAAATATGTTGCAAAGTATATATTTCACCACATTTGTAGGGGACTTACTGGTCCTTATACCTATGTATAGGATAGCTACGGGTCAATCGCAAAGAACGAAGAGTGGTTTATTATAGACTTCAGTGTGAAAGACTGAGTTTTCCCGAAGTTGAGAAAAGTGATAATGTCATTGCAGTGAACATCACACTTGATATTTCTCTGCAGTGAACATAAAGCATTTTTTATAAATTGTATCCCTTTATCGTTAATGTCGAGCCCCGACACAAACTGTTGACTTGCTTTTCAGGTTAGTTCCACATTGACGAGGCAAAATAATGACAGATGGACAATTAAACGGGGACCATGTTATCTCTGCCATGTTGAGGACGTTATCTCCGCTATTTTGGGGATGACGTTAATTCCACTATGTTGGGGACCACGTTAGTTTGGGACAACGATATAGCTGCTATGTTGAGGACATAGAGATTACTACGAATTGCAAGATAAATGGTATCTGACACACATGTAGAAATCTGTTTCTTACACACCCTAATATAGCACCAAATTAGGATCGAATAGATGCTCATTTAGTTTGTTATCTCCGCTATGTCGAGAACGACGTTATCTCACCTATGTCGAGGATGACGTTAATTCCGCTTATAGGGACGACGTTATCTCCGCAATGGCGAGGACGACTCCACTATGACGAGGCGGACTCAACTATGACGAGGCGGACTCAACTATGACGAGGCGACGTTATTCCCGTCTTGTTGAGGGCGTCATCTCGGCTTGTTGGGGTTGACATAATATCTGCTATGTTGAGACGATGTAATCTCTGTTGGGGATGACTCCGATATGGCGAGGGCGACTCCGCTATGTTGAGGACAACATTATCTCCTTTATGTCGAGGACGGCGTTATCTCCAATATGTTAGGAACGACGTCATCTCCGCTATGTAAGGGACGATGTTATCTCCGCTATGTAAGGGACGATGTTATCTCCGCTATGTAAGGGACGATGTTATCTCCGCTATGTAAGGGACGATGTTATCTCCGCTATGTAAGGGACGATGTTATCTCCGCTATGTAAGGGACGACGTCATCTCCGCTATGTAAGGGACGACGTCATCTCCGCTATGTCAGGGACGACGTTATCTCCGCTATGTAAGGGACGATGTTATCTCCGCTATGTAAGGGACGACGTCATCTCCGCTATGTAAGGGACGACGTCATCTCCGCTATGTCAGGGACGATGTTATCTCCGCTATGTAAGGGACGACGTCATCTCCGCTATGTCAGGGACGATGTTATCTCCGCTATGTCAGGAACGACGTTATCTCCGCTTTGTCAGGGACGACGTTACTGTTGAGGACGCTATTTTGTGACAGCGTTACGCTATGTTTGGGACCACTAAACTAAATGTATGCGACGACGTTGAGGACGACTCCTTTATTTTAGGGACGGCATTATCTTCGCTATGTTTAGGACGACTGAACTGAACTTTGTAGGGGATGACGTTATGTCCGCTGTGTCGAGGACGACTCTATGTTGAGGCGACTTTATCTTTATCTCAGCTATGTTGGGGATGACATAATCTTGTTAAGGACGGTGTTGTGGGCAACATTGTATACGCTATGTTGGAGACGACCTTATCCTGCTATGTTGAGGGCGCGTAATCTCCGCAATGTTGGGGACAGCGTTATCTTCTCTTTGCCACATTATCTCTGCTATGATTTGGATGACTGAACTGAACTTTATTTCACTTCGCTGTGTTATTTTAAGGAAACAAAGTATAGCTAGCGGTATTTTAAATTCTTTGTGATCTGTGCTGTATTTAATATATTTCTAATTTCATATTTGATAGTTGCCCCCCTAGATTTTTCCTAGAAAACAGTTTCATTTGAATCAAGTTGGTGACAAGTGAAACTAGTGCAAATATTTGTGCAAATAACCGCGCTAAATTTAACATTTGAAACCTCACGCTGCGCGTCCGGTTCCAAATTCAATTTAGCGCGGTTGAATCTACAGGTAACCTAGCTCTACATTGAAAACAAAGTATGTTTATCTCCTAATTTAAAAGTCATTCTGCCATGAATTTGGAATTTACTCGATTCTGATTGGTCAATAAACAATAAACCCCCTCTGATTGAAACAGCTGGTTTGACGACCGCATCACTGCGGAAGCTAATATTCATAGAATAGTACTATTTTCAGTCACTGTCGGTAGGCATATTTAAATAATTATATCTACAATTACAGGTTACAAAATGCACAGATACAGTTACTACAATATTCAAAGGATGTGTGGCAATACATTTCATGCAGAAAACACGATAGAAATCAACAAAGGGAATGTATTTACGTTTTGGAGACAACATAGAGCTTGTAATTTTGGCGATATGAATCGTTATCAATCACTGGATTGTCAAGACCGCTGGAATATTGCTAAGTGGGGCCTAAACAACCGACAAAACTGGCAAATAAATCTAGATGTGGTTTTGTTTTCATGTTCATGTATTCCTGGTCATGTCTGGTGGATTTAATGGATCTGGTCCTCGGGATCAGTGTCATGGTACCCCAACAGTGTGGGCCGTTGCTGGAGTATTGAGGATTGGACATAAAACAAATCATATTTAATATATCTCATATTTTTATTTTTGCTGGTCAGTAGGTAACAGTAACAAAGTCAAGATCTGTTCACTAGTTAGAACACAATTCTGTGAGTGACAGGCAGAATTAGCTGTGAAGAGAACCTAAAACATGGAAGTTGATCTGTAAACATAATCAATTCTGTCATCTCTTGGAGAGGTATAAAATAGTAGTAAAGTATGCTTCAAATGAGAATTACTATTCACTATTTGCAGTAGATGGATTTCTTTAAAAAAATTATTAATAGTAATTTTAAGTCTCTTGTCATGAAACTTGTTACATGAGCTTGTTATTCAGGTAGTCAAATCCCCATCACCAATTACACGTCATTATTAATGACACTCAACATGGAGAGACATCGCAAATTGGCTAGCTCCTGAATATATTGTTACAGCTTGATAGACGTGAATTATTCAGATTACCATATTTCTGATGAGATACTTCAGAATCAGAAAGTAACAAGACAAACACTACAAACTAAAATAATCAATGCTGGTTGCAAACATTGGCTAGGCGGCTAATCATATATTATTCTAGATGGGTGGGGCCAAAGGCACACACAAATATATAAAAATCAGACCCAAATTGTTTCCTCCAAAATAATGAAGACAAACACTACTTCCAGAAAAAGAAAATGAGGTGTAAGTATTAGGATAATCAATAAACAATATCTGCTTATCTATTTGCGCACCACAGAAATATTACAATACAAATGTCATTTCAGTGGAAGCAAAATCTAGGCTCTGGAAGCACAAACACTGGAATTTCCAAGCTCGATTGAAGCACCTTCATATAAAAAACATGCACATCATGTAAATCAACAACAGACATTTTGCAAATCAACCAAAATCTGCACCTTGAAATCCATGTTTACAAACCGAATGTCTTGTTTGTAACTATGCATGTTTGTCCAGCAAGTGTAGATTCCAACATCTTTTACTTGTCAAGACATTATGATTGGTAAGTAATATTTTCAGGGATTAAAGGTTACCATAACTAAAAAAAAGGTCAAAGGTTCACTTTTAATTACCAATGACAATGTTAAAAAAAAATCTGCACTACAATCATCACATATGCTTTGGTACTAATGGTGATTATTGACATAAATCTCTGTATATATATATACATATATAGACTTGCAATAAAAGTGTTATGCTTCCGCATCTGTGAGCCATCAGCTGCATCAATATTATATAAAATAAATATGATCTTGGTAAATAAGTACAAGTAACTAATAAATATGTAATTGAAATGTAAAGAATGAATGATAAAACTCAGATTCAAATAAAGTGTAATAAAATAATCATAAAATGCTTTACTTGAGAATCAACAGTATTGTAATAATATGATATGAAACTGGAATATGTACCATACTGATATCTATATTACATAACTGTTGGAGATTTAATCCTCAGAATAAACCGACTTAATACAATAAAATACATTCAAGGTCACATTTGTGTATTAATTGGCAGTTCCAGCCTAAAACTTTACAGAAAATGGGCACCATGTATTTAACTGAAGATACCCTTTTCATATTCACATAATGTCTGCAGTTCTTAAATATATACCATTCCCCCACCCAAACAGATAATAGTTGGTCCCATAATTTGTCTTGTGACACCAATGTTGTTTCGGTGCTACCAATTTTCTATAACCCCAAACTATGCATTTTATGTAATAAGCACCATGTTGTGGAGCATTGTAGATGACATTTTGGATTTTTGTTTATGATCTAACGAGAATGGCAGAATCATAGGATTCATTCTGGTGACATTGGGACAGAAATAAAATATTAACTGGAGCATCGCTGAAAATTCTATGTAAATACGTCAATTATATGCTCAACCTTTGTGTTGATCCTAAGTATAAATAAATGTACATGATTATGCTGACAAATCAAGGTGAGATTGATCTTCGGACATATTTTGCAGACCACCCTATCCACCCCCGAAAACATGTTACCTGTAATTAATGACCATTCCCTAAATAATATTGTTATAAATTGAGTCAATTTGTCGTCATGATCAGAACGAAAAATATTATGCTTTCCATAACATCCTGGCTGGAAAGTTTATCTGTGGAAGAACCATGGCTGAGTACATTTCTTTTCAGGAAGACAATTTGTTGAATGTTAGCTGTCAACAATACAGTGGCATGTAACTAAAAGGGTGCCGAGTATCAACATACATCTTTTCAGGAAGACAATTTGTTGAGTAATAGATTGCAACAATACAGAGGATTGAAGTATCACAATTTGAAGCTTGATCATATATTGGATATCTCAGACTAAAATTTAACCTTGCTAAACAGTGGCACAATATAATAACAGTACCCAATACATGTACAAATGATATACCTCCCCATCGTTGTAGTCCATGGTGGTGAGATTACATTCATGAATGAATCAGAGCGCCTGTTAATAATAAAGGGACACCACTTTGTAAGCAACTCATGTAACAAATATTTACATATTCAAGAATTCATAATTGTGTTGAAAATCACAGATGAAACAATACCATTTTTAATGGTGTGATTGTTAACAAGTACAAAATATAATGTAAAAATCACCCTCAAAATTGGAAAAATTATGATGTAAGATGTACTTTTGACAGGACAGAGGTCTGCCATATTGGTAACTCCCTCTCTATTCTGTGACAAGTATGTGTCATGAATATCCAAGCAGTACTCCCCACAAAGTCATTTTATGAAACATACTCCCACGAATCTGTTGTCATAATGCAGTTATGAATTTGCCATTATCATCTAAACTGGTCTCTCCTTTTCGGAACCTGACATCCGAGTCAGATTTCAGAAGCGGTGTCTCAAACTGCTCCGTGTAATAACCCCCACCCTCTGCTGTAGCATTCTGGGTACGACCCAGTCCAGCGAGGGTCCCGCCGCTGAGAGATTGGATACTCTTTGCCTCCATGTCAGAGTCTTCAATGAGTTCATCCAGAACGTCCTTCCCGGTGCCCGTGTTGAGATCCTTCGGGACGTGGTGAGCACTGTCCAATCTCTGGAAGGCTAAGGCTAGATTGACTGTTGATGGACTGACTGGTGGCCATGATGGATTCTCAGCAATCTCTTGTTCAATGGCAGCATATTTGAACTGCGATGATGGAAGACAGTGTTTGACCTTTTCTCGACACTTCTCTCTCACTGAGGTGTTGTCGATCAAAAACATCTGCAGAAGAAAAACATTCTCTCATATTTATATACAGTATTTGTTGTCATATAATTGTGATGCCATAGTTTAATGTATAACAATAATTACATCATTTTCAACACTAGGTCATTCTGTCACACATCCCAATTTGAAGCATCGAAGAAAACTGCATACCATGGCACATTCTACTGACGGTATTCGAGCACCAGGCAAGTACTATTTAGTATGACACTTCAGGCATGTTAAAAATGACCAGAATGGGACACTTCGATAATGCTAAGCATACCTCTAGCATGACAGACAGGAGGAAGTTGATGATGGCTATGCCTAAGTACACCAGCGAGTAGGGCACGGACGGGAATGTCATCACCTGCAACAATCAATATTCAGTTGGTTGTCGTTGACCATCATGATATGAAATGCTGCCGAAGGAAGTGCTAGATGTACATGCAACATTTTGCGGCCTATAGTACAGCAAGTGTAAGAAGGTTACCTCCATGAGGTCAGCTAGCCCCTGGGGTGGGTAGACAGTGATCCAGACTGCACCAGCAGTACAGACAACCAAGTTGATCAGGAACAAATCTGAAACAAATACACATGGATATAGGGGAGTAACCTATAATTTGTAGGTACAGTGGATTGGGTTGGTCAGTTTGATTAATGATGATTAAAGCTTTTTAGTCCAAATTGCAAACATTTATATAAAATATATTGAAAACCTAAACAGCAACATATATGACGGATCCCCTGCCAAAGAAAACTGCTGAGAATGAAATTACTCACAGTTGGAGAAGATGGTCTTCCTGAAGGGCGCACCCTTTGAGAAGGCTACAGCCAGAGTGATATACTGGAAAGAGGATATGTAGAACACGGCCGAGTTTTCATAGCTCATGTAATCTTCGTCATCATGGTCGATAAACTTGTGAAACCTGAAACAGAACAAAATAAAAACAATTATGACAAACCTAGAAAGTAGTAGAGAGTTGGGCTGCAACAAATACACTATGAGGCGAATGCGATTCATATCATGAATATAGGGTAATGAATACGAATATTCATTCATGAATACAATAACAAGTCGATTTGTTATAGGTAGGAGAAAATAAGCTCAGCCAAATGCATGCATGCGCACCGGAACCTGAATTGGTGAAGTACTCTGTAGCAAGGTCTCTGAGGAAGTTATGGAAAAATTGCCGTGAAGTGAGGGCTAAGGGGGGGTGGGGGGGGTGGGTGTGTCCAATCCCGTTGCTCTGTATGCTCTGAGAATAACAGCTCTCATCCAAAATAAGATAGTTGTTCTCTCTGTGTGTATTTAATAAAGTGAGTGTGGCTCACTAATACCGCCTAGTGTAGTTTCAAATTAAATAGCAAGGATAGGGTTAGGGTTTGAAAAATTCATTAAAAAATGGAAAATTAATAAAAACAATGTTTTTCTTTAAATGCACCCTTCCACATGACACAGATTATATGTACTAAGTTTGAGATGAATCCACTGAATAGTTTAAATCATGCGGACAAAGTTTTCGGACGGGGGTATAATAAATGCACCTTAGTGCACCGAGGACGGAGGAAAGAGCCTGGTAAGAAATGAACAAATGTAATTGAAGTCTGCCGTAACTAATAGAAATTGGGTTTTCTGTGTCATGTGTTCAAAGGTTCATATGCATCACTGGTAGCGGCCAAATAAGAGCCATAGGTAATCTGCAACTTGTGGTAGAGTAGCTTTGGCTGCAGAAAATCCCTTGGAACTGGTCAAAACTTTTCCATTTATTTATTCCTTGTTGATCAGACAAAAGTAGACAGATTTCCCACCTCTAGTTGTACGAGCACTTTTTGAATGCCCGTGAAATGACTTTTAATTTGGTTTTCTGTATAGATTGCATATCTGTATGGCAATGTACCTTGTGTAAAAAAGGAAGGCTGCATGAATCTTGGCGTTTGTTGATTAGTAATAGGCTGACGGGGATTGCGTAAATTCATGACTGGGTTTATGTGGACGTAATTGTCTGTACGCAGGTTTTCTTCTGACCAGTACGGGTGCGTTTAGGCGAGCTGTTTTCTCTGTTCTCTTGGAACAGTACATGATAAAATTGATTGGTCTTTGTATATATATTAATGATCAGTGTCAAAATAAATATAAAAGTGTTGTCTTTCAAGAAATCTATGCATATCGTATGTTATGGATGAATCGTAACGGCCCTCATGCTGAGTATCTGCACCTACCACGGCTGTCGCTGTACGTCCAGGAAGCAGTAAACCTGGGCGGCAGTCTGTATGGCTGTCTGCAGGATGATAGATAGGATGGGGCCTGGGGCAAGGAGGGTGATGGGGGGAGGCTCCTTCACCAACTCAGCGTAAGCCTCTGTTCGCCCAACTGAAATGAATAAGTATGACAGTACAGAATGTTGAAACACAGCAAAATTGATGATTGCTAGCTTGAAATTGCTTTTGCAGTCTTTCATCACATACGATGTCTTCTCAGCAATATTCCAGCTATGCCGACCTTTTCGTGAGGGTTCATTTAATCACTGAATTGTCTGGTGTCAATCATCCTGTAAATACTGCAATACTCACATGTGACGCTGAGTGTGGTGAGGGTGAAGAGATCTATGAACAGGAACTCGGGGTCTGTCATATTGGCACCAATCTGAAATCATGTTATGTTATTAACGATCTAAATAAAGGGCAGCAGGCTGCAGATGCTTAGGTTTATTATTTTCTCTTTTAAGACACTGTTGCAACTTACCCAGTACAGAAGCAAGACTGTCACAAACTGGGTGAGACTGTAACAAGCCATATACTTGAAGATTCCAAAGGACGTCACCAGTGCAGCACGGCCTTCTCTGCAATACAGGCATACAAAGATCCAGGTTATTGTTTGATGAGTCTCAAGAATGGTGGATCGTTGTGCAGATGATGTAGCCTTCTCACCTGATGACAGTCGGAACACACTCAATGGTGGGCTTCTTTGATGTGAAGGGAGAGGCTACAGATGCTTCTGCTTCAGACAGTGAGATCCCCGTATGCGCTGTTTTCAAAGCTCCGCAGTCATTCGCCCCATCTCCGCACATTCCAACGTAGTAACTGAACATTATTTGGTATGTTTTAAATATGGCCCAATAATGATTTTTTTGTAAAATATAAATATTTTATAATACTTTTGACAGATAAAGTTCTCTAACGTTTGTCTACTATCATGTTTTCTTTATTCCCACCATTCGTTCCTCTTTTTTTCCATCACTTAGATGTTGAGCGCAACAGCCTGAATCTCTCATTCTACCATGACATTGATGAATGCTTGATTCCGATAGGTTAAATTTAAAAAAAAAAATATATCCTGGAGTAACAATAACATTTTATTATATCCCTTGCTTGTGCACAAATGGCAAAGATTTCTTATGCATATATTTTGGCATTAGAAGCGACAAGATGTCATTTAACACAAAAAGATGGAAATATATTTGTAAAGTTGCTTGACATGTTCGATGAGAACCCGTAGTCGAAATGTGTTCAAGAGTTTTAATTTCAATAAGATTGTAGTAAATAGTGAATAATTTAGTGAAGTGGAATATATATTTCAGACATTGTGACATATCATTCATTAAATCTGACAGGTACCGTGGGTTAATAAAATTTATACTATTTTGGCCGGTCTACCAGCCTGCGATGTCTGGCTACTCGTGGCTTCTTGGCCGTTTCTGGAAGAGTTAAACTGGCATTGACAAGCTTTGATGGATCCCAGCGAGTTAAGATCGGCGGTAATAAAAACAAGAGTCATCAGAAAGATGACATATCCCCCCGGCAGCTGTCTGTAAAGTAACGAGTTGAATGTTCTTTAAGAAGCATACATTGTTTACCCACTGAATGGTTTTCGAATTCTGGCCCGTTCCCCAATGGAGTCTAGGTCCAACTTCTTTCCATAAAAATTCGTAAATAAAATCAAAAGGCACCACTTTAGTATGTGCCTGATAGCTTTGCCAAGTTTTGATCAAATGCACTGAATGGTTTTCGAATTCTGCCCCGGAAAAGGAAATGATTACGGACGGACAGACAGACTGGCTCATCGCTCTATATCCCCCCGCATTATATGCCGGGTAAAAGGAGTAATAAGTATTTATATTTTTTTCAACATATGGACTTTTAAAGAGCGGCGCATCCGTAAACCAAGTAATAAAAGAAATGTCGCCTCATGGGCCACTAATTCTGCCATCTACTTTTTACTTACCCCAGAGTCTGCAGGCATTCCACTAATTGAGCCTTTTGGTCTGGTCCCATCCGGGCAAATATTGTTCCCCTCACAACAATCTGAAGAAAAAACACAGAACACTATCCTTCTGAACACCCAATCCCCACCTTACATATAAGCATGAGAAAATGCACATCTTAAAAATACTAAATGTTTCTAAAATAAAACATTCTCATGTTGGAGATTCACCTTTGCGAGCATGTCCGGGAAGAACTGCCTGATGACCGACCATGACCTGCCAGTCACAGCAAAGTGGAACCGCTGGTTGTCCATGTCAATCTGGATGTTGTACTGTCCGTCCTGCACGTAATGAATCTCAAATGTTCAAAATGCAACTTGAAATTCATAGCACGAAGAAATTCACAAACCCACAAAAAAGAACACATCCCAGAAACATGGGGGAAATCAGTAGAACGAAAACAAAGGCCACACCAATTTCATTTCCTGATGAGCTTTCTTTATCAATATAGCAAAACAAGAGCCTGAGTACCGGTGGTACAGCAACTCACCGTTATTCTGCTGAAACTACCAACAGTATGTTTTCCTTGATAACTTTGGATACATATGACATATCACAGTGCAAAATATACGAAAATGACAGAGGTGGGCCTGAAATAATAAAAGTAAAATGTTAGTTGAACAAAACACAAATTTTTCAAACTCACAACTGACATAACCTCCTCAACTTTCTTCTCCCTCTCATCTGCATAAACAAACTCCACTTGCGGTCCAGCCTTGCCGTCCTGTGGTGGGTATGCCTGCACCAAGATGATCCTGTCAGTGCGGTCCACCATGCAACATTCCCGGGCCACACTCAGCGCAGTCAACATGTTGTCACCTGTAGAACACACAAGCATAATAACTTGATGAATGTGGCAAAACTGGACTAATCCTGAAACCACCTTTATTGCTCCAAGTATATTTTCTTTGATGATGATGTTTCTGATGGCACCTCCCGGTGCATCTGGATGACAGGGTTCATCTGGCTTCACCTACCTGTGACCGTGATGGCCGCCTCCCGGAGTGTCTGGATGACAGGGGTGGTCTGGCTGCACCTACCTGTGACCATGATGTTTCTGATGGCCGCCTCCCGGAGTGTCTGGATGACAGTGGTCGTCTGGCTGCACCTACCTGTGACCATGATGTTTCTGATGGCCGCCTCCCGGAGTGTCTGGATGACAGGGGTGGTCTGGCTGCACCTACCTGTGACCATGATGTTTCTGATGGCCGCCTCCCGGAGTGTCTGGATGACAGGGGTGGTCTGGCTGCACCTACCTGTGACCATGATGTTTCTGATGGCCGCCTCCCGGAGCGTCTGGATGACAGGGGTACTCTCTGGCTTCAGGCAGTTCTCCATCACCAGCAGACCCAGGAAGTTGAGATCCTTCTCCACCTGCTCCCTACACGGGAGAGACAAATCTTGATTAAATTTCAAAATCAAATTCCAGGGGATACAAACTGAAAATGGATATATATCACAGAATTTCAGTGAGAAGGAAATATCATTACTGACATTTACTGACATTTTGGTGCAATGCTGCTTTAACAGTATTTCATCCATAATACAGTCAGAAAAAACTTTAGTGGATCAAGTACAACAATGGAACACTTTTTATGCCGCTGTCAACAATGGCTAAAAGCATTAGCAACAATCACCATCATTGGGCTGCTGTGACATACAATCACATGTTTCTCAGTAGTTGGCACCCGTGGGGGAATTACCTGCTGATTCGCTGTACCTTGACGTAGTTCAGTTTCTGTGGCAGGGGTTTCCAGGCCAGGGCTATGACTCTGTAGCCATGTTGGGTGTACGCCATCAGCACCTCCTGGAAGTCCGCAGGAACTGAAATAAAAAACAAGAAAGCTTGGGGGTCACTTTACCAATTTCGATGATGATAATCTGATCTGGGTCCACTTGCACAAAGCGATCTTAGCGCTAAGATGATCTTAACTCCCATACTTTAACATAGGCTTACAATAGTCTAAGCGCTAAGATCGCTTTGTGCAAGTGGGCCCTGGACAGTCCAAACTATTAATGATTAGTGATACATTATATACAGATATATAAGCCATTCACACCATGTCTGCATCGTTCTATAAGTGGCATTTGCAAGAAGATTTATTCCCAACAATTTCATTTGGGGTGAAATACAAAGGTCATGTTTTTCTAAGTAAGAATATTTAAAATTTATGAAAATATCTTGAATGTTAGAATCTGAACCCGAAACAAATAATTTCGTTTGTTACTGATTCAGCGTTGGCAGCTGGAGTGTGGGAGTCTTACAACACAAGGACCTATACTGCTCAGATGTTAGGTGGTGAAATGTGTTTAAACATTGTTCAACATTATTACCCCATGGCCAGACTTGTCCGATTTGATCAAGTGTAAACCAGACATTGAAAAATGTGCCAACCCGATATTTTCGTAAAAGCATTTGCAGGACATTACAACCTGAGACGGGGTATTATTACAAGGATTGACTGGTTATGTCACATTACAGACAAAGGAGAAAATTAATCTCACCTTGGACCCAACCAATTTGCTTGAAAAAGTATGTGACCTAGCAAAGTATGGGGACGAGAGTATTTCATGGGTAGGTAGCCAACAAAAATGGATTAGAACAATAAGTGAAAGCGTTTTTTCGAAACAAAACCCCACATTAACACGCAAATGAGATGCAGATTAATTATCTAAACAGTAGGTGAGTGAGTATGGTCTTATGCCACTTTTAGCAATATTCCAGCAATATCACGTCTTCGGCGTGGCGAGCGAATGCTTTAACCACTAGGCTACCCGACCACCCCATGACCGAATCAGAGTACAGAAGTTTTAGAATTGATTCAAGTACCTGTTTCAGCCTTAGATAGACTTGTGATCATCTCGGGCGCTCCCTTCACAAACAGGTCAAAGTTGTTGGCACCCAGGTTGCGTGTGATGACCGACATTCTCTGCAGGCTGGAGGAGAAGGTGAACTGTCTCACCACACCGATGTCCTCTCCCATTGGCTGAAATATGAATATATACTGATGGGAAGAAGTAAGGTAACAGCATTAATGTAGACTGGAGAAGACCTTGGACTCAAATTGTTGCTTCCATAAAGAAATGTTACAGTTTTCTAGTTTTGTTGTGCCCACCTGACTGTCGTCTCCTAGGATGGAGTTGAGATTGTTCCTGGTTCGGGGATGTACAATAGTTGGCACCATCATGTCGAACCTCGTCTCCTCCTCACCCGGCTCCTCCAACACCTGAAACATGGAGTGAGTGTTTGTTAAATGACACACTTGGGAGCCTGTCAATCGGCCAGAAAAACCAGTGATTGATATCATGAGCAAAATCCAACGTCATCAGTAAGTTTGGTTTAACACAGCTTAGAACTGCACAAGTACAGTTATAGTGCTGACAAACCTCGAAACATTATCGGTTGAACATAAAAGAAAGAAATCTTTGATGTGAGGCTCCCCCACTTAAATTCTTAATAAAATTAGAAATATCAAAATATTTTTTACATTTGTATACTTCTCCTCAGTGCATTTCACTGTTTACCTTACAACAACAAAGACAGTGCTCAGTGATGGTCTTTGGTGAAAAAAAGTTGTTTCTATTTTCTATAAAGAATGGGATACATGGACTCTCACGCACATTAACACTGAATAGCACTGAGTAAAAGTTTTTATGGGGACATTTATTTTATGCTCAGTGTGACTCAATTTGTACACTACCAAAATAGTCCCCACATCAACTGTATTTATCTGAAATATTTATTTTACAGCAATGGTTTTAAAATTACAGGCCTTTTCAAGGCAGACTGCCAAATTCAATGATTTTTCTCAAGTCAGAGCTTTGCCCAAACTCCTGCAGCCACCTACCCAGTCAACAGCCTCAAACATGATGAGATCCAGTGGGTCCCCTGTGACGATGCCATCGATGATTGTGAGAGAGTGGCACGTTGCCATGCCGTAGATGAGCAGGTTGTGTTTCAGCTTGGTCATGTCACTCACTTCTTCTTCGAATCTGAGAGAAGGAGCAATCAGCAATGTGACAATGATTGGGTGGTTGGTTTGTTGTTCAACGCCGCACTCACCAATATTCCAGCTATATGACAGCGGTCTGTAAATAATCGAGTCTGGACCAGACAATCCAGTGATTGATATCATAAGTATCAATCCATGCAATTGGGATCAATGACATGCATCAACCAAGTCAGCGAGCCTGACCACCCGATCCCGTTAGTCGCCTTTTACGACAAGCATGGGTTGCTGAAGACCTCTTCTTCCCCAGAATCTTCACGGGTCAATGTGAACATGAATCAGCCTGGGCCTTGTATACACAATTGTCTTAAGTTAATGATTAATGTATACTACTCAAAAGAAGATTCTTTAATATCACTATACATATTTTATTGTATGACATAACTATGTTCATATAAAAGAAGGAGGGGATGTCAAGGTTCATACGGATAAGGAACACCAAAATTCAAGGCTTTCAACCGTCATGTTTAATCAATCATACTATATTTTAGACGCAAGGTCTAAGAAGTACTATGTACATCACAAATATTTCAAGATATTTAATTTCACAACTAAGAAACAAAAAAAATGAAAATTTTAAGACTTTCATTCGTTATTTTGTAAGGTTTTTCAAGACTGTACGAACCTTCGGTAGTACATATTTTCACTCGTCCAAAAAAATGATCGGCTACAGATTTACCATCGAATGTAAAAAATTTAGTCCACATGGAAATGTCACTTGTCTTCCTGAAAAACTAGTCTCTGACCAGCATATTTGTGATTTGCTTAGATTTTTTAAGAGAATTAGTCCCCGGTCACATTTTAAGACTTAACAAGTCATCTATATCCTTCGCCCATTTTAACACGTTATGGTCCCAAACCAGGTAACTGACCCAACATTTCTCTTAGCCCATGTCAAAATAGCTGCAATGGAAATTCTAAAAATAAACATTTCTAAAACTCCTTAATATCAAATGGCACTAGTTCAGCATGCGCTTTATATATAGACATGCAATGTTTGGCAAGGAAATATTTAACAGTTTATTTGTTATACTCCATAAGTGAACCCACCCTATAATAGAACCTAAGTCCAACTTGTTGTCATGGAAACATAAACAATACAAATTTCTAAAAGTGCTAAATATCAAAAGGCACCAGTTCAGTATGTGCCTGGTAGATATGCAAAGTTTTGTAAGAAAGTATTTAACGGTTTTTGAGTTACGCTCTGGAAACGAACACCACCCCTGTAGAACCTAAGTCCAACTTATTGCCATGGAAATGTGAAAAATAAAAATTTCTAAAATTCCTAAATAGCAAGAGGCACCAGTATGTGTCTGGTAAACATGCAAAGTTTTTGTTGGAAAGTATTGAATGGGTTTTGAGTTATGATCCGGAAACGAACTCTACCCTATAGAACCTAAGTCCAACTTGTTGCCATGGAAACGTAAAACATAAAAATTTATAAAACTCCTAAATAGAAAAAGGCACCAGTTCAGTATGTGTCTGGTAAACATGCAAAGTTTTGTAAGAAATTATTTAACGGTTTTTGAGTTTTGCTCCGGAAACGAACAGCACCCTCATAGAACCTAAGTCCAACTTGTTGCCATGGAAACGTAAAAAATAAAAATTTATAACATTCCTAAATATATAAAAGGCACCAGTTCAGCATGAGTCTGATAGACATGCAAAGTTTCGTAGAGAAATATTTAATGGTTTCTGAGTTATGCTCCGGAAACGATTTCGGCACGCACGCACGCACGCACGCACGCAACCCTTTGTTGGGTCAGGGGATAAAAAATAAACCAATATTCATGAAGGAAAAGCTCTTTCGCTTGTCTTTCACAAATACCCACCCAACAACTTGTTTTCACTTATTTTATTTTACCCACATTACATCCAAATAACTTTGTACAAAATATTATATCTTGCAAAGGTTTAAACTTCTATTTTAAACAAGGATTGTGTTTCATATGAAAATATATCCAATTAACTAAAAATCATATGTTGAAATCTATAAACCTAACTGACCTGTTGTTGGGTGATGGTACCACGCTCTGCATCTTCATCCCATCTTCTGTCAGAGTACCAGTCTGTAATTGTGGCAACACAGGATTATTTTTTGTATTTGCTGTTGATTTCTTTCTTTTATTTGCATTGCAATATTCCACCAATATATTTGAGAACTGAAATACTCGAGTAAACCAGTAACTGATGGCTCTCCACTTGGCTGTGTTCAAAGTCTTGTGGTCTTTGTTAGAATTGGGGGCAGTGGGTAGCGTAGTGGTTAAAGCATTCGCTTGCCACACTGAAGGCCCGGGTTCGATTCCCAACATGGGTACAATGTGTAAAGCCCATTTCTGGAGTACTAGCCATGGGCTTGCTGGAATATTGCTAAAATCAGCATGACAGCAAACTCACACGTTTTAAGCGTTGAAACTCAGAGATTGAGGGCGTTTCTAGATACAAAAACTACAGCAACAAACTCACTCGTTTTAAGCATTGAAAGTCAAAGATGGACAGGGTTCCTCGATACAAGCACTACAGCAGCAATCCTCAAGGATCTCAGGACCCCCATTAATTGTTAACATTGGGCACATTATAGAGGTGAACCATCCATATGCTTCACACACGACATCACAGCTAATATCAGATTAATCATTACTGTAACATAACTAAATTTTGAGTGAAAACAAGTTGACCTGCGAAATGTTTGCTTCCTTGTGCTTATTGACAAATGTCTAACCTGCAAGACTGACACTAACCTTGTCAAAGCAGACAACATTGAGGGTCCCACAGATGTTGATGCCACGAGGGCTGATGCAGAAGATGTCTCCCTTCTTGAGTCTGTGCTGGGCAAAGACGATGCCGACAGTGAGGGCAGCCGGGAGAGCAGGGGGGACGGTGATGGTGATCAGATCTAGTGCTCGGAGAACAATATCCCCCGCTTTCTCCCCATCCTGGACCTGACAACAGTCAACAACAGTTTCAGGTTTTGTTTAAATGGTTGAGGTGAAATGGGGTTTAACGTCGCGTCCAAGATTATTGCACTTATATAGCGACGTGCATGCACATGTGTGTGTGTGTGGCTGCTTGTACTAGTCCGGACTGATGCCGATTTATAGTGCTAGCTCACTGAGATACCATGCCGCAGTTTAACATGAATACCCCACTCAGACACAGTATACTGACTCCGAGCCGACTGGTCCTTGTTTTAGCCCCTTAATGCCGAGCGCCAGACAGGGTAACAACAAGTACCAGCTTTTAACGTCTTTGGTATGACGCGGTTGGGGATCGAACCCCGAACCTTCCACTCTCCAGGCGGACGCTCTACCACTATACTACAGAGGCGGTTTTGTTTAATATAGTGCCATGGCACAGCAGCTCACTGGATATATAGTCAACAGTCTGAAAAGCAAACTGAATAAAAGTTGCAGTCACCACTGACATTCAAATATTTCCTGCAGAAATATTAACCACTAACACGGATACAATAAGTTGGCAGAGATACACATGTGATCGGGTAGTGTAAGTTTACCGTGCACGGGAGCAGGTCATTAACCCAGTTGTTGGTTGCTAACCATAGGGATGCTGGTGTGTGTTTGGGTGATTGTTTTTGTTTCAGAAGCTGGAAACATGGTTCAAGAACATTTCCACATATGATCGAAGGTAGGATAAGTTTAACAGGAAAACAATGTCATCACTATCCCCCTGCCATAGGACTAATATAAATTTTGTTTGTTCATATAGTAGTAAATATATACTATGAAAAAAAGAGTCCTATAAAGATTGAAGAAGAGATTGGCACTTGGGGTGCTTTGTCATCCTGTACCCCCCGTCCCACTTCATGGTGGGGGACAAAATGTTTTCATTTATTAGATTAACATGGTTAACATGGACAATCATGTTTCATAGTCAAGACAATCGTTTTTTACCATTAAGATAACGGTGTAGATGAAGCCCAGTGATGCTATAAAGGCCAGGACACCCACAAAATAGTATGTGTCACGGTTGAACTTGAAGTCCACTGGTTTGGGGTATAGGATAGCTCGGACAAGCTCACCCTTGGCAGTCATGAACCCTGAAACATAGACAGGCAGGTGATGACAACACTTGCATTGACAACAAAGTACTTACCATGCATCAGTTCTTGCTCCCATTGTCATGCTACTGCTACTCTTTAATTACAATGAAAATATCCTTTTCATGAGATTTACAGTGAGAGAGAGAGCTGACCTCTGTTAAGAGAATCAGGTTAATTTGTGAAGGAAAACGTAAACTCAGGCCTACCAATGTCTGCATTAGACAAGAAATCCACATCATAAAGCCTGTTTAAAATTTCCTAAAAATAATTGAATGTAAGATTTCACACAAATCAGGCAGCCAGATTTTGAACCGTCCAAATGCCCTGGCTGTGGTCTCTTTTGTAACAAATGGTGCAAGTAAAACATCTTGAATAAAGATTGCAGCATGTGGCAACTCAACTTCCTCTCAGGACAGTACGTAACATTTTAAAATTCCAAATATGAATAAAATGTCCATCTGTCCATCAATTTTTCTATATGTTAATGTTATAATTAACTTCACATATAACACATCATTCTTTACTTCACTCCTATATTGACTATTAAAGGATGTGAAAAAACTTTCAATCTACTACCAGCGGACATCCTTAAGAAACATGACTACAGATACTGACAGCGGAGCGATCATAATCAAGCAATTCAAACAAGCAGCCAAGGGATGCAGCTCTGCTCTGTTGATGATACAAGCATTCTAACATGTTTTTTAACTATATAACTATACTTATTTATTCATGTATAATATGCACTCGTGTGTTATATGCACCCTTAATTAGGGGCAATTAAATTTTGAAAATATATATCTGTTGTATATAAACATTTCAGGCTGTCAGCATAAACCACAAAATTTACGATCTTTCAACTCTGTTTTTTTCACCAAAATAATATTCTAATAAGAGCCCCCTATTTATAATTTTGCGGTATTACGTCGAACAGGGTATTCCTTTCAATATCACAGAACTCTACAGAAATATTTTAAAACATATTTTTACATCACTATTATTTATTCTTACCAGTTCTGACTACAACAGCCTTCACCTTCTGGTTTCCATAGAAACGAGTCTGGATCACATGTGTGCCACAAAACAAAACATGTCTTGAATGTTGTTTGATGTCAAACATGTTTTCTTTCTGATCTTTGGCAAGTTGTGGATTTGGAAGAGGTGTTTTAGTGATTGGTACGCTCTCGCCTGAAAAAAGAGGGTTTACTGTTAATACAAATAAGGCTGTAAATAGCAATGTCCTTCTGAAAGATATTCAAAGATATTTTAAGAGTAGTCATTATCACTGAGAGACTTGCGTCTTAGGCCAAAAAAAATATTAGTCTTGGTTCTCAGGCACCGCCCGCATCATCATAAATTCTGTGCACGTTTAGTTTTTATTTCAATTTGAAAAAACCCAAACCTTATACATTCAATATATTTTGGTTACATACTAGCTTGAACAACCAAAAAACAATACACTGCCCACCCACCCAGACATAAGTTTCGAAAGCCATTGCCTGAGAACCAATTCTTTAAAAAAAATTAAGCCTTAATGTCATTATGAACATTGTTTTAGTCAGCTTTATGTGGGGAGAAGTGTCAGAGGACATTTACCACAGGGTGAACCCCATGAGCACAGGCATGATGATGTCACACCAAATTCTTACTCAAAATACCCATCACTGGATTGTCTGGTCCAAAACTGATATTTACAGGCCGCCATCATTCAGCAGGAAAATTGCTGAGTGCAGCGATAAAACAAACAAGTTGAGTGGGACCGACTTGACCCAGTTATTGTGAGTAAACCCCTCACCTGTAAGCATGCTCTCATTGACGATACAGTTGCCACTGATGAGTACAGCATCACACTGCATAAAACAGCCACGTCGAGGAACCTCAATAACATCCCCTGGCACCAAGTCCTCTGATGAAATGTCATCGTATTCTGTAATGCAGGAAACATGAATGTCTAGTACTTTTTCAATGACATGTTAAAAAAATACATAGAGGTGGAAAAAAAATAAAAAATTCTAGCAAATAATTACTCTTTTGGCAAAATTTTGGGCAAAATAAAATTTATTCATTATTTTCATGTACAAATTATTTTTTAAAAACAACAACAAAAACAGGACCCCCATAATATCAAAAGGACAAATATATTTTAACTATATCACATCAGTTTGAACGATGAGGAGCTTGTGCTAAGCAAACAAGCATTTTGATTACAAAACAGACAATCAGCCAGGTCACACACGTTTCTGTCTATTCTGCCCCAGAATCCCAAATGGAAGACATCCATGGGTTGGGGAGACACAAAAGAAGTAACAGGAACCTAGTCTTTCATGGAATATCCAGGGGAATACATTCATGTGTACTGGGCACCTATTCTTCCCAGGAATATACACAGGAAGACACAGGTGTACTTGGGACCTATTCTCCACAGGGAGACATGCACTTATATCATCTGTCCAGGAATCTCCACATTAAAACATGTGGATACTAGGAAGCTTTTCATCCATGGATGGATCATGGATCACTCACCTTCATTACCACGACACACAGTGACAATGGTGGACCCTGAGATGGTGTTACGTAATGCTCGCTGCATCTGTGATGGTCATAAATGATAAAGTATGTATTCAAACAGTGATCAATCATCATTAATATACAAGTGCTAATAATGTTCATATTTTTTAGTTGCCTCATGTCAATCATGTAAAAGAACTGTTATAATGTTAAAAAATTAAGAACCTTTGTGAGTCAGTTTCATTTTATGCAGCTTTTAGCAATATTCTAGAAAAATCAGGGCAGGGGACACCAGAAAATGGCCTTCACACATTGTACCATGTGGGGAATCCAACCTGGGCATTGCTGAGTGCCACGTAAAACAACAAACCAACCAACCATCAGCGTGAGGAGAACATTTCAACCACTGGGCATTTTTGCACAATGCATATTATTACAGAAGACCTCAAGGGTACATTATTCATTTTATTTTCAAATCCATGTAACACAACTGTTTTCATCAAATATTCACTTGTTCATGACTAGTTACATTATACTTATCATTTTGTCAACAAACGCTTCAGATGAAAAATGATGCAATCTCAATATTTAACTTTAATCTGGCATAGAAAGGATACAAAATAGTCAGTCAATAAACTGTTCTAGTAAGGCTAGACATTTCAATTATTATTATATTTTGTGTGTGAAAATTCCTGATAGCAGGTGGACAAAACAATATAACAAACACACATACATCTTGTTGCTAAACCTAATGCATACATAATTCTTTGATGTGAACACATACATCTGCATTTTGAGGTGGGGGAAATTGTGCTTTTAAGATTTTTATTCTTTCAACCTATTCTAAAACATATGAATTCATACCTTTCTTGTCTGGTAGATGGTGACGATGATGGAGACAGCGGAGATGAAGACGATGCAGCTGGCGTACAGCTCGTAGGCATCAGCGTACCACACACACATACTGAACACTTGGAAGACATAGAATGGAGAAAGAACCTGGCAAAAAGCAAAAGCAAGACATTTTGTTGAACGCCACTTTGAACAGTATTTCAATGAACATTATTGGGAGGCAGCTTGACGTGGAGGAAAACTAAAGGGGATACATCTCTTACACGTTCACCACTTTGGTGACAAGCTGAGGCTGATGCCAGTATTTATAGTGCTAGCCATGCCGCAACTTAACATGTATACCCCACTAAGACACATTATATTGAACAGTTCCTTTAATGTCAAACACCAGACAGGGTAACAAAAACAAGAAAACAGAGTTATCACTATCCCCTACCATGAGGCACATTAGAAGTTTGTTTGTTCACATGGTTCATATAACCCCTATAACCCCTATAACGCCTAAAGAAGAGATAGGCATTGGGCCGCTTTTTGTCATTTGAAAAAATTATTAAATGTGAAATTAATGCACACAAAAGGCCCTTTCTCTGGAAAAAACTCAAGTCTTAATAAGTATCTCTTTGATAAGCTAACTTCAGTTGTTTCTGAGAAAACTTGCCGCCATTGCACAAATAACATGGATGGAAGGCCTTAATTCTGTAAAAAATTAATTGACGGGACCAATTTCCAAACTCAGTCTTAACAAATAACTCTTAGATAAGCATGCAAACCTTCATTCTTTTAGCCTCAGTAGTTTCGGAGAATACCTGTCCCCATTGCACACACTATGCGCAAAGTTTAAAAACATGGGGCAAGGGCCATAACTCTGTAAAAACATATTTGACAGGACCAATTTTCGAAAAAAGTTTTGACAAGTATCTCTTTGATAAGCATGCAAACTTTCCTTCACCTTACTTCAATAGTTTCTGCACACACTACACACAAAGTAAAATAACATGGGTCACAGGCCGTAACTCTGAAAACAAATAATTAACAGGACCAATTTGTGAACTCAGTCTTGACAAGTATCTCTTAGATAAGCATGCCAAGTGTCATTCATGTAACTTCAGTAGTTTTTGTGAAAACTTGTCCCTATTCATAAGTTGAAAATCACGGTGCAAGGGACATAACTCTGTGGAAATTGAATTTACGACATCCATTTTCAAACAAAGTTGAGATAATGACCAGTAACACAAGTGTGCAAAATTTCGTTTCCCTGACTTGAACAGTTTTAGAGCAAATTTGTCCCCTTTCAGAACCAGACGGAAGTTCCAGTATCCAATATAATTACCATCTAATAACATGTCTTGGTATGACAAGGCCAGGAGAGCGAAACACCGACCTTCCGCCCTATCCATTATACCACTTAGAAGGTCCCCGACCAAATGATCTTATCCCCAAGTGATTGTGTAATATAAACAATCATGTATCGTAGCTTCGTATAGTGTGCATCCCCCATCACCCATTTTGCTGAATACTTAACATACATTGTCCACAAGACCAGGCAGTTTGGGGATTGCCAATTAGATACTGATCCTAAAGGTTTCCTTAGTGGCCTTGTAATTCATCACAAATACACAATTTGTAACTGTTTAGGCAGTCACTAAATTGTCAATAACCTAACTTACATCAACTCATCAAACATAATTCTTACTCACCTCTCGGAAGAATATTTGGATTATAGGCGTCACATGAACTCGGATTGAATTGAGGCCATACAGGCCATGTCTGTCAAGAAACAAACAGGCACACATTATTTTACAATCTTCCATCAATAATGGATGTTATGTCATCACTAATCCTAATGATAAAGAAGGAGGGACATTTTCTTAAGAATACAGCACAGAAATCTCTTATTAATTAAGAAAACTTATTGAAGACAGTTCTTACATGTCTTTTAATTGAATAAAAAACTAATAACTTCACAGACTGTCAGAGTAATTAACACAAACAAATGTAAATGTGAAATCAGTGACATCATTCAGCACAAGAATGCAACACAAGCCCCGCCCATTCTATTGCCCCGCCCATTCTATTATCAGCCAATCAGGAAACAGTAGTCCATTAGTAGGGGTGCCACTGTCGTGGGTCAACAAGTGAGGCACAATCGTTGGAATGGAAAAGACCAGACTAAAGGACAGGTGGCCAGTGGATACTGGCATTGAGAGAGCACTGTAGAGTTGAGCTTATACAATCATGTTCTTCAAGACATTATCTTTCCCCGACCATTACTTTCAATCCCTAAATGTGACACATCAAGACAGTATCTACAAACCGTCTTTGTTGGTCCTCGTAGGAGAGCCCCTTCAACTGGTAGAAGTAGGAGCATGGGTTATCTTTCTCCAGACCCCTGCAGTAAACAAAGGAACTTTACACTGAACACAATCCTTGTATTACACTCAGGCCCATGGTCCCATAAATTTGTTCAGATATTTATCTAGGATTCTAACCTAAATGCCCTTTGCAGGCAAATTGGGAAACAATTGTCATATTCTTCAAAACTTGATTATTATTTTCCATGTTTTGTTTTTTTTAAATCCTCGGGAATTTCTGAAATGTTAACTTCACATTGGGTTTTTTAACTCATTTGCTCCCGACTTTGGGCCTCTGAACCAGTCGTCAAGATAAATCCCTTTTGAGTGTTTGTGTTTAACACTGCATTCAGCTATATACGGCAGCCTGTAATAATCAATTTTGGAACAGACAATCCAGTGATTGATATTACGACCAACTATCTACATGTTGGGTATTTGCTGTAAACTTTAATCTAACCAAAACACATACTTCCATCTAACCAGACACAAACATAGCTGTGTAGGCAATTAAGTCCAGGGTATATAGGATATTTGAATAGTTTTATGATACACTGGCTCATCAATCAAGTATGAAGCAATGGTTTGTTTGTTGTTTAATCCAGCAATCAGCAACATTCCAGTATATATCAGTGGTCTGTAATTGAGTGATTGATATCAGGGGCACTGATCTACACAATTGGGATACGATGAGATGCATCAGCCTAGTCAGTAGGATAACTGGTATACTGCAATACGCTTTTCAAACGATAAGTATTGCAATATTTGTTAAGTGTTCCAGTACATAGGACAAAAAATACATTACAATTTTCGTTATTACTTGTTTAGTCTAACCCAAAATCAACACAGAAATTTATTCAGTATATTGCAATACAATTTTTGTCCAAAACACAACTCTACTAGTCAGTAAGTCTGACCAGCAGATGCCGCTTATGACAAGCATGGGTTGCTGATTGAACCAGTGGTAGAATATGTCTTTCTGATGTTTGACTTACTTGAGTCGGATGAACTCATCACGTTCTGGGTCCCAGATGTATTTAACCTTCTTCGAGATGAAATAGCGAATCTTGTTCTCATCACGCTGAAAATACATGGAAGGTTATTCAATGTTTCTGCAATTCAATCTGGGCTAGACAGAATGAGTTAAGTCCACTGTCAATAGTTTTACTTGGGGCTGATAGAATATGACTACATTTGGGAAGAAAACATGCAGTCCTTCCAGTTTCACTAAAAAGATACTTCTACAATAACATACAATCCTAAAGTCCAGTATTCCAGACCATACGTGTTTGGAATGTCTACCTGTTTCTAAGGGGACATTACTACACAGTGGATGTGTTTGACCCTGCTAATGTGTCCTATATTACCAGAATATTGAATCTGACATTGCTTCAAACAATAGTGCCTCATGGAATCAATGATTTCTTAAAGCCTCACACTGGACCCCTGTTCTTATAATGTATTGTATCACAAATTAGTCATTTTCTAATCTTTCAATGGAGAAAAAAACAATGACAAAGACAAATCAATGAAGACATACTCATATCACCAGACAAAACCGCCATTTTCAGTCTAAGTCAAAGACATTGCCCTGGAATCTCGCAAAATAATTTTTTTAAACTACATGTATCAAAAGGCACCAGTTCACCACTAGACCTATCTATGTGCCAAGTTATCTCTACTGATTTTTGAGTTCTGCTCTGGAAATGAAACGTGACATTCCTATATCCCCCTTCCACTACATGGCGGGAATAATAATGATGAGCAGGTTAGCCAGTACAAGCAATTGTAAGTCCTTCAGAAACTCACAAATGTCCATGAAAATACAGACTGTTTGTTTGTTTGTTGTGACATCATGAGCATCAATGGATTCAATTGGGATACGATGACATGGCTCAAGCAAGTCAGCGAGCCTGACCACCCGATCCCGTTAGTCGCCTCTTACGACAAGCATAGTCGCCTTTAACAGCAAGCATGGGTTACACTGAAGACCTATTCTAGGGTCGAAAATACATACTGTAGCTTGTAGATTTGATTCCTGATGTGAGGTGTTGTATGATATAGCCTTGTCTGGTGCCTTTGGATCAGGTCTATAACAGAAGAATACAATCAACAGCAAGAGCAACATACTGTTGGTCAGCAGTGCTCAAAATTATGGGAGGTCCTGGGGTCCTTGGGTCCTGAGGTATTCAAATTCCATAAATCTTCATCTTTTGACATCAGGATTAAGACAAGGACCCTTTGGCTTGCCTGCTTATTTCTGAACACCAGTTAGGTGTGACAGTCACAAAAAGAATTAAGATTCGGGGGCTGACTCAGTGTTGGAAAGGTAACTTACGCTGCTGGTAAGTAGTGTAAAAAGGCAGCCCTGCGGGTTGCATAAGTAAATTTGAAATATATATGAAAATGACTTAGAACCCTGCGGGTTGATCTAAAATGATAAAATGGAAATATGTAGAAAGGGTGATACCCTGCGGGTTTGAGTGAAAATGAAAATACTTTGGGGGCCGCAAGCCATATGATAGTTTACAGAATGATTGGCTGCAAGCCCAAAACGAGGTGAAGAACCGAGAGCCCCCAAAGTGATAAGAAAGTATAAAATGAGTGATGAGTGAAGATGATAATGTTAAATATATACAAATGAGAATTAAATACTGAATCCAATGAGTTATAACATCGAAGTAATGTCACAGAACTAGCACTGATGAGTGTTAGTAGCACCGATAGGAATAACAGTTCAGTCATGTGGGTTGCACACCCTTTTGAAGGGATCTGTTTGGAAGCTTTAAGGTTAGGATGCACTTATGTTGTGTCTGTTCAAATTGCACATCACTCGCTGTTAGATGTACATCTGGATCAAACGACGAGGCACACGTAAATTCTCCACGACAGAGAAATCCAAAATAGGCAGTTATGCACATACATTGCATAGCCAGATTGTTGAAATATCCAAACACGCCTACTTGTAACAGAGCCACTAGTTTACATAAAACACTGTAAGTTATAGGCAAGAGCTACTTTGTAGATATTGATTGCATTTCTTGTAACCTCCTAATAAAAAGTCTGTAGTCTGTGTACAGCTCCTGAAGATACATCATCAAAAAGGGTCTTGATACCAGCTTGGAGGTACATGAACTCGATACCGGCCAGATAAATCCACGGTGTCATGTTTCAGTTTTAGCACTCCAAAAAAACAATTGGCTACGAAATATATAGTCTCACTTATTGGTGAGAGGGTGGACTGGATTCACAGGTTGCTGACCATGCTGAATTTCAACAGAAAAATTACATAGCACATGGAGCCTGTAGTGTATGCAGATTTAGTACCCTGACTGATAGCTGCTGCCACATGATGTCCGAGCTGGTGGGCACTGTTGAGGAAGTACATCTGCCTGCGGCACCACTCTGCGGATTTCACCATGTGGAACGGAGATAGAGAATCAGCAAGTTCGTTGTGTATTCCGGGAACATGTTGAGCTAACACAACAAAATTATTCTAGCTGCCGTCCAAGTCAGCGTTCTCATCAAAGCCATAATCTTCCTGCTTTGTTGATTGACCTTTAATAATTAACACGGTGGCCTGGTTGTCGCAATGAAATAGCACTCGTCTCTGTGTCCACTAATGTCCACAAGTTTAGCAGCAACCATGATCGGATACAGCTCCATGAATGCCCTGGATTCGTGCTCCAGGAATTGTTACGTCTGATGGCCATTCTCTGCAAACCAGGCCCTATTGAATATGTTGAAGTATCCACCATGGCCAACCGTTGCAGCAGCGTCAGTATATCGGTTCAAGTGTGAGGCAGATGTCACTTCAACGTCATGAAATACTGCTATGCCGTTCCACTGTGAGAGGAAAGGGTTCCACATGCGCAAGTCGATTCGAAGGTCTGAGACAGCTGAATATGATGATGCAGTTGGCTACTTTGGTTGATAAGTCAGTAAGGTAGGATACAAAGGATCTTCAGGGGGATCACACGACAAGCAAATTTTAAGGATAGGTGTTCCCTGCGGGTATGGAATTGGAAAATGGTGGCTGCGCCGGACCAGGGCCCTGCCGGCCTGCGAGAATAGGGATACCCTGCGGGTATAGGGGTGGAAAGGGAGCAGATTATTACGGAATTGAAGGAGAGGTGTACCCTGCGGGTATGGAATTGGAAACTGGTGGCTGCGCCAGACCAGGGCCTACCGGCCTGCGAGAATAGGGATACCCTGCGGGTATAGGGGTGTAAAGGGATCAGATTATTATGGAAGTACCCTGCCGGTATGGAATGGAAACTGGTGGCTGCGCCAGACCAGGGCCTACCGACCTGCGAGAATAGGGATACCCTGCGGGTATAGGGGTGTAAAGGGATCAGATTATTATGGAAGTACCCTGCCGGTAGTGAATGGAAACTGGTGGCTGCGCCAGACCAGGGCCTACCGGCCTGCGAGAATAGGGATACCCTGTAGGTATAGGGGTGTAAAGGGATCAGATTATTATGGAAGTACCCTGCCGGTATGGAATGGAAACTGGTGGCTGCGCTGGACCAGGACAGTGTCGGCCTGTGAGAATAGGGATACCCTGCGGGTATAGGGAGCAGAGTATTATGGAAGTACCCTGCGGGTATGGAATGGAAACTGGTGGCTGCGCCGGACCAGGGCCGTGTCAGCCTGTGAGAATGGGGATACCCTGCGGGTATAGGGAGCAGAGTATTATGGAAGTACCCTGCGGGTATGGAATGGAAACTGGTGGCTGCACTGGACCAGGGCCGTGTCAGCCTGTGAGAATGGGGATACCCTGCGGGTATAGGGGTGTAAAGGGATCAGATTATTATGGAAGTACCCTGCGGGTATGGAATGGAAACTGGTGGCTGCGCCGGACCAGGGCCGTGTCAGCCTGTGAGAATGGGGATACCCTGCGGGTATAGGGGTGGAAAGGGAGTAGATTATTATGGAATTGAAGGAGAGGTGTACCCTGCGGGTATGGAATTGGAAACTGTTGGCTGCGCCGAACCAGGACAGTGTCGGCCTGTGAGAATAGGGATACCTTGCGGGTATAGGGAGCAGATTATTATGGAAGTACCCTGCGGGTATGGAATGGAAACTGGTGGCTGCGCCGGACCAGGGCCGTGTCGGCCTGTGAGAATAGGGATACCCTGCGGGTATAGGGAGCAGATTATTATGGAAGTACCCTGCGGGTATGGAATGGAAACTGGTGGCTGCGCCGAACCAGGACAGTGTCGGCCTGTGAGAATAGGGATACCTTGCGGGTATAGGAAGCAGATTATTATGGAAGTACCCTGCGGGTATAGGAAGCAGATTATTATGGAAGTACCCTGCGGGTATGGAATGGAAACTGGTGGCTGCGCCGGACCAAGGCCATGTCGGCCTGTGAGAATAGGGATACCTTGCGGGTATAGGGAGCAGATTTTTATGGAAGTTCCCTGCGGGTATGGAATGGAAACTGGTGGCTGCGCCGGACCAGGGCCGTGTCGGCCTGTGAGAATAGGGATACCTTGCGGGTATAGGGAGCAGATTTTTATGGAAGTACCCTGCGGGTATGGAATTGGAAACTGGTGGCTGCGCCAGACCAGGGCCGTGCGGTGCCTTCCTCAGAAAAGGCTTTTCATCACATAAGTTGAAAGTCTGTCAAAATCTGACACTGTGTCTAAATTCCTGATTGGCAGAAGAAGCAAAGCTAGATTGACATATTACCTTGTATCTCATTTAAGAGTGGATGAAATGTGTGTATGTGTGGCCGTGAATCCGAGGGTACATCCCTGTTTAGCTGTTTGGGAAAATCTCTACTTGCTCCTGTGGCTTGTCTTGACTCCTCTCTGGGTTGTCGTTGTCACTGGTGGTGGTAAATGTACTTGTAGGAGGTTGTAATTGTTGTCCCAAGTTCATGACGATAGACTTCAGTTCAGCGATCTCTTGTAATGAAAACACTGTCACTGTGTTTTCTGTAACACTAGCAGAATTATCAGAGCAAAATCCTGTGAATTGTCTCCCTGTAGCGGCACATCACTGCCTTGATCTTGACTGACTGGAGCGGTTTGAGGGATCGTAGTGGTGGCGACCGTGCTGTTGGTGCCTGTCATCACCCTCATATTTCAATTAGGCTGCATTAATGTCCGTCTGGACCAGAAAGTGGGCACATTGACACCCATGTCTGGCAGCCGTTGTCGATTATCAGCAGCTGTCAAAAGGGAGAGCTTCTGTTACATTCCTGTGAGAGGAAACAGGGCTAGACGCTTCGCCACGATCATCGCCATTGTTGTTTTCATGCAGGTCAGAGGTCGTATCCTGGTTAACCCTTCGTGTTGATTGCGATCTGGCTTAAAATGTCGTCTGTCAGCCATTGTTACAATAGCAACAAACAGTTGTACTGCATACACAACAGGATGGCAAAGGATTGTGTAGATTTTTTTTTATGACTGTGATTCGTAACGACAGCTGAGAGAACAATGGAAACAGCTGAACGACATTGAGGCTCTTGTTGTTAATATAGAAAAACAAAATGACGTCACATCCGTAGTACTGCGCATGCCCGGGGAAAATATATTGCATTCTTGGATAGAAAATAGTAACTTGATACAGAGAAGAAATGTGATCGTTCACAGACGATTCTGATTGATTCTGAAAAACCTTACATAGGTGACAAATATATACATCTGTTGTGTAGACATCAATGTTAATAATAGGTGAAAGGATATGTTGATCACTGCACAAACAAAAATATAAAATTAACATTATAAAAAACATGACACTTGTTTCACGTTAGTGAAAAGAGTGAATTGTACCTTATCAGGTTTTTTTTGCATTTAAAGCATCATTGCACACTGACATAAAAGAACCCTAACCCTGAGATAGTAATGGGGACCCAAAGCACAAGTAAAGATGTGAAATTGTAAAATATCGCTTCCTAACCCTCAAACATACCAAAACCTATAGTTCAAAGCAACATGCCTGTTGCATTTCACGTTTTCATTTGGATATCATATCACATATACATATGATATATTATCTCCACATTATTATTTTTACATGATACAAATCCAAAATGTAGCCCTTTAAGGCCCATCATGTTTACCCGAATCCAGGTATACAACTTACTGTGCTCCATCTCTGGTAATCATGATGCAGATGTTTGACTTGAACCATTCCCTCCACTGATCCTGGAAATATATCAAGTGAGTGAGTTGACGGAGTTCAAATCTAAAGCTACCTTAGCATAGTTTCAGCCATATCACGGTGAGGCAATAGTTGTGATGAGCTCTGAAAACATTTTCAGCTTGTTTGAGGACAGCATGTTTACCACTTTAGTGCTTTCATATAAAAAAATAATAATCAGGAGGAATATAGGATTTAAACCCACAAGCAGCGGATCCAATACTATGCACTGCGCAACTGAAGAACGTTACAGACACTGTCAGTAACACTGTTGTAGCCTCGGCCAGTGAGCACCTGGACTGAATGGCCTTACCTTCAGTAACACTGTTGTAGCCTCAGTCAGTGAGCACCTGTAATGGCTGACCTTACCTTCAGTAACACTGTTGTAGCCTCGGCCAGTGAGCACCTGGAGTGGGTGGCCTTACCTTCAGTAACACTGTTGTAGCCTCAGCCAGTGAGCACCTAGAGTGGATGGCCTTACCTTCAGTAACATAGTTGTAGCCTCGGCCGGTGAGCACCTGGAGTGGGTGACCTTACCTTCAGTAACACTGTTGTAGCCTCAGCCAGTGAGCACCTGGAGTGGGATGCCTTACCTTCAGTAACACTGTTGTAGCCTCGGCCAGTGAGCACCTGGAGTGGGTGGCCTTACCTTCAGTAACACTGTTATAGCCTCGGCCAGTGAGAACCTGTAATGGGTGACCTTACCTTCAGTAACACTGTTGTAGCCTCGGCCAGTGAGCACCTGGAGTGGGTGGCCTTACCTTCAGTAACACTGTTGTAGCCTCGGCCAGTGAGCACCTGGAGTGGGTGGCCTTACCTTCAGTAACACTGTTGTAGCCTCGGCCAGTTAGCACCTGGAGTGGGTGGCCTTACCTTCAGTAACACTGTTGTAGCCTCGGCCAGTGAGCACCTGGAGTGGGTGGCCTTTATAAACAGATGTGGCAGCCAGTAGAAGAAGAGTCGCAGCAGCCCGACCGTGATGATGATGAAGAACCACACGACAGCTGTCTTCAGTGTATGGGGCCTAAACCCGGAGATTTCCTACAACAGTGAGTGAGTGAGTGAGTGAGTGAGTGAGTGAGTGAGTGAGTGAGTGAGTGAGTGAGCGAGCGAGCGGGCGAGCGAGCGAGCGAGCGAGTGAGTGAGTGAGTGAGTGAGTGAGTGAGTGGGTGAGTGGGTGGGTGAGTGGGAGTTGGGGGGATTGTTCTTACACACTGCAGTCTGTCAGTTATCTTACAAGATCAGAATACAATCTGGATTGGACAAACCAGGGTTTGACATGAGCTGAATCAAACCATTCTGTAACCAACTGATCCTAATATTAGTTGTCTTTTGCCATTACTGAATCATACCACAACAGGAGACACAAAGAAAGAGCTTCATACATTGTACCCAAGTGGGACTCAAACAAAGACTGATGAGATGTGCTTTGACCACTGGGCCACCATATTCTGTTCCAGAAATCACATCATTGTATATCTGGACTCTTACTTGTAATATTTTCTATTAATTTTATTCAAAAATTTATTCTATATTGATTACATAAATTTCTGAGAAATGGTGCCTCAACTCATCGTTATTTACAATAACCATGATACGATTACCGCTACAGATGATTTGAAACAAACCTGAGTTGTCAGGGAATGGGTACATATATCATAAATGCCATACTTTGACTTGTTAATAGACATATTTCAGGATTTTGACTATTATATGTAACGTTTTCACAATCGAAATACATGTACAGGAGGAGGTCCCTCGGGTGATACGTCAAACTGTTCAATATGTTCAAAATATTCGGCAAAAGCAATCAGCAGTACCAAAGTGCTACGCTCATGGTTCTCTTAATTTTAAATATATATACTGAAAGCTGCAACTAATATAATACAATATTAGAATATAAGGGTGTGCGGTATTACCGGTGCAATGGTATATTGTGGTGCAACACGTATTGCGATACGTTTGTAAATGTAGCAATATATTGGGGCAAATATAAATAAGTATATTTATGTGTTCCTAATCGATATAGAGATGGAAAATAATATCTTTCTGATACAACTTGATCTTTTTATCAAGTAGCGTGTACACATCACGACTATCAAGCTCCTCACAAGCTAGCCGCTTCTATACCAAGAGTCACGCTTGGAAGGAGCTTGATGGTATAATAATACTATGGTACAATAATACAGGGTATAACTCCAATAAACTTATGAAAATGTAAATTGTCAATATATTGCAATACAATATCCAGATCAATACACAGCCCTGTTAAAATATAGTATTCCTGATAAAATAATAACTTCAGATACAATTTCTTCCGCCCACTGCATCAAAAGTGTGTCATTGTGTAGTTCTTATAACTGAATCACCCAGAGATTGGGAAAAACCTGTGTACAGCTGATTGCTATTTCCAGCTTAGTTTATGAGAAAATACCCTTGGTAATCCTAATCTTGGCATATAAAACAAGTAGGAAATACAATTTAAATGGTAAATAATCATGTCTAGTGATGTTTTACCTCAATTTTCAAATCTTTATTGACCAAGACTGTTTTATATCTGTTCGTTCACCTGATTTGGCTGATGGAATACAATGTAGTTTTTTAGTGCACATAACACTCAATAAATCAGCATTAGAAATTGGCACTAGTCCTATAGTACTTTCCAAACTGCCCAGTAGTTAAGGTATCATAAGGACTAGTAGAAATTAGCCCTTTTTGAGGGTTTGGTTATGCGTTATCATTTTAAGGACCAGTAGACAAAGACTGTTAGTTCCTAATGCTGAAAATCTATTTTTTGTACCCCTTTTTAACACTATGAATCATAAACAACTACAATATTTTAGTCTGTTTTCAAACTCGGAACTGCAGCATGCAGCGAAGATCCTGTTAGTTAGGCCGAACATGTACTGTTGTGTTGGTTATCTATACCTCTGATGACTTCACCTTAGTTAAACCGCTGATTGTTTATAACACTCATCAATTATTTAGACCCCGAAGGTAGCGCTGTTGCGAGGGATCACTATATTAACTTGGGTTGCAATGAATACACTATGAGGCGAATTCAATTTGTGTCACAAATATAGGGTAACGAATGCGAATATTAATGCATGAATACAAAAACAAGTCAGCAGTTGATGTATTATTTGTCATATTCAATGAAACAAAAGCAATACAAATTATTTGACATGATTTGTTAATTATTAACATGTTATACATTTATATACTTCCCTTATCCAGGTACTAGTATCTGCTCAAATGCAACAATGACCAGTGACAACATTACTGTCAAATTAGATATTATAATATAAGAGTGTTGTCTTTGAAGAAATCTATGCATTGATGCATAAAAGATGTTCTTTTGGATATATTTAGATACGGGGTATGTAAATATTCGATTCTATTGGTCACGAATAAAAAATTCAATTCATGAATGGATACGGTTCAATTCACCGAATACACGAGTGAATCATAACAGCACTGATACATGTATAAACAATGACAAAAATTAACAGATCTTTATTTTCACAGTTTATAATCCTAGCCACTCGTCCCAGTTGTTTGATAAGCAATTCTTGCTTGACAACGGTATAAGGTTTTATACCAGAATGTCCCTACTTAAGTATAAAACAAGACAAAATGTAAGCAGAGCTCACACAACTCCAACATAAGTTCAAAACAAAACATATATTTTTGGAGAAAATACACATATCAAAATCTAACTTTGCACTGCATTTCTTCTGTTAGCATGGTTAGTATAGAACTGTTCCCTAAATTTGAAAAGAATCCATGAAGTAGTTTTCTAGTTATAGGTCGCACAAATGTTTCAGTTAAAAGCAATTTAAGTAAAACAATGAAAAATAGCTGATTTTCTTTTCAGAAAATCCAAATATTAAAAACAAACTTCGCACTGCACCTCTCCTATTGGTATAGAAACTGTACCCACAATTGGAAAAGAATCTATGAAGTAATAGGTCACAAAAAAAGGAGGGACAGACGAATGGAAGGAATTCCTGGGTATAACAAGGGTCATCAGGAAATGACATATACCCCTGGTCTGGTGCAATTCGGAAATGAATCTTGGCTACTTATACTCCACTTTTGGCTCATTGACACTGGATACCTTTTGTTCAGTGAAAAACAAAACAAGTCATCAGAAGATGACAAATGGCCCCGAACAAATCATCTGACTGTTACTTTAAGTCCTGTCTGACGTATACAGGAGCAGGGGTTGCAAATTTATAAAAATGTAACTTGACCAAAAGCAATAATGACCAACATTCTTACTTGCCCTATTTTAAATGTACAAAATCAAGCTTTTAAATTCAGTAAAATTTAACAACTACAGAACTGAGAATCAGAGATACCCAAAGGTCGCGTTGTAGCGAGGGATCACTGCAGTGTTTCCTGGCTATTGCGCCACTCAATATTGCGCTAACTCGGTTATAGCGCGGTAAAACATGGCTCTAAGTATTTACTTACATATTAAATTCTTAATATTTAGTTTTACACTGACACGATGTTCCCCCAGCAAAACTGTGTGTAAAGGGATCGGTAGATCACACAACTCACCATTATTTTACAGCAACCATGGTCAGATTTTCACCATTGATGCCTTGAAACAAACTTTAGTTGACAGGGAATGGATACATACATCATAACTGCCATACTTTGACTCTTTAAAAGTCCTATTTGTTGTAGTTTGACTTGTAGTTTTTTTCGCGATCGAGAGCGTGTGAGCCTCTATGGTGACTAGTGTATTCAAATAATTTATTTCATCAAAGCTAGGCCTAATAAAGCTTTAAAAGTCAGCACTAGACCAATCTCACATGACAAATTCCAAGAAATTTAGTCAACTGTCCGTCATTCCATTTCCAAGAAGCATGTGCCATATATGGTAGTGTTACTACCATGTATGAATGAAACTAGCCTGGTTATCATTGTTGTCCTGCTCGACATCGATGTGTATTTATCCCATTGGTTGACTTGTGTAACTGTATGCAAAAAAGATAGCCAGTTTGGGACACTAGCAAAATATTGGGAAGCACCTTTAGAATTCAGTACCACAATTTCTTGTGAAGACGATCTCTGCCGAAGGTCACATGTCTCAAAGACAAGCAACCAGTTTTTGTGATAATCTGTCAGCCCTACAGGCAACCGACTGAGCTACATCCACACTGTGAAGCTAAGTGCAAATTTACTGAGTCATGCCTACGACTTTACGGAACCAAACGAAAAGGGTCGAATAGGTGACGGACACTTAAGAGGGTTACGGGTAGGCATTGTGTGTCGTGACTTTAGTCTACGGACACTTCCGAATGATCCCGATGCCATTTGGCACACTCGTCTCATTCCGTAATCTACAACATACCGAGTGATGAGGAATGAGCCGATATGGTGCGAACTGAAAATGGCTCCAGGCTAGCATGGCTAGTGACGACACAACGGTGAGTTCGCTTTTGAATCAGTAATGAAAAAAAATGGTGCCTGTGAAAATGGCTTGTGTGAATGTTCCAGGAGCCAAAATATTTGACACAAAACCATTTCATCCTTTTTACTCAATGTTTTTGTATGAAGAATATTAGGAGCCGCTATAGAATCTATAAAAGCCACTAAACGGGTCTCTAACCCTAATGATCATAAAGGGGTGATTGATTGTAGAGGGGATCCAAGGGCTAAGGAAAGAGTTCGGGATAACCTACCCTAGCACTGGCAACATGTGGATGTGTTCAGTGCCAATATAATATCCCTAATAAACTGCATTCTTGTGCATAATAATGAAAGTTAATGAACAGGAAAATTAATATATATTTATATTAGTTCCCATTTATAACCATTTTAGCCACTTGAATTACGAGAAAAACGAAATAAAAAATACATAAAAAGTACATGTGCTTTCGTAAACTAGCGCTTGCTATAAAATGCGCAGCTGCAGGCTATATTTAGTAAGCAAATTTTCAAAACTCTCAACACCGCTGGGCGTTTTCAAAGACATTGCGTGTGAAGATAATAGATCACTGGGAGGAGCCGGCATTTATTCAAGACAGGTCATTGGACCCGGCATTTAATCAAGGCAGATGGTCATTGGACCAGGTGTTTATTCAAGGCAGATGGTCATGGGACCACATGTTTATTCAAGGCAGAAGGTCATTGGACCCAGTGTTTATTCAAGGCAGAAGGTCATTGGATCAGGTGTTTACAGCGTTAGAAATTGGCACTAAAGTACTCACGGAAATGAAAAAAAAACTGTTTTTTCGATCTCAGATTTTAAATAAATGCAGTTAACATGCAAAATATATAAATATTCAAACAACTCAATTGGTACTAATTGGGCCTTGGCACAAATACAGCGTATCAAAGGTTTTTATGTCTTTTTACACGTAAAAGTGTGTAAAAATATGAACAAAACAGACAATTGTGAAACTGAGCATAACCAGGTGAAAGTAGATCAAGGTGAATATCCATGACCTATGACACCTTGATGACAGGTGAAAACAGGTGCTTGAAACCCACGTGCATGTGATTTGTCAGTGGTTACTGATTTGTGAGTGGCATTGTTGGATAGTGAATCATCGTCAAAATATCAGAATGTAAAAGTAACATATTCCCTTCTCAAACAACAACTTACATGTCATTATTATTATTATGTACATAAACATAGCTGTTATTTTTATTGTTGTTTTGATAACTTTTTTCCAGGCTAATTTCCAAAATGCCTATAGCCTGTTTCTGCCATGTCAGTTTGGACTTAGTTTTATTTTTGTATGTTGAAAGTGCCTACAAATTACCTCCTGTAAAGTACATTTTGTATTGAGCACTGAGATACAATTAGCAAATCCAGACTAGTACTTTTCCAGTTGTTTTGTTATTTCGTATTTACATCTATGTAATGCTTTGTGTCGATTATTAAATCCAGCAAAACAGTTTTTTTTCATTTCCATCAGTACTTTAGTCCTGTAGTCCTTACCAAACTGCCCAATGCTTAAGGTATCCTAAGGACTAGTAGAAATTGGCCAATTTAAAGGGTTTTGCTGTATGTTATCATTATGAGGACTAGTGGACAAAAACTGTTAGTTTCTAACCCTGTGTTTATTCAAGACAGAGGGTCATTGGACCCGGCATTTATTCCAGACTGTAGATATTGGACCCGGCATTTATTCAAGACAGGTCATTGGACCCGGCGTTTAATCAAGGCAGAGGGTTTTTGGACCACGGGGTCTATTCAAGGCAGGCGTTTATTCAAGGATTTAGGGAACTGTATCTTTGAAACAGTGTAACCACTGCAGGTACGACCAAGGCAACTAACAGTAGTGAATTGTTTACTTCATTCTTTTGTTTAGGACATGCTCTCTGATTGGTTGATCAGAGTACCATGTAATCAATTGTGAAAAGTATTGCAAAAACTCATATGAGGTCAGACCATGCACACTGGCAGCTTGTTCTGGTCCAGACTAATGCTGATTGAATAGTGCTAGCCCACTGAGACATCATGCTGGGCAGGCAGGGTAACAATAAGTACCATCGTTTAACATTTTGGGGTATGACGGGGTTTGGGGATCGAACCATTGACCTTCTACACTCTCATGATTTAAGGTATTTGATCACCATGTATGTCATATGTTCTTTCTATTATTTTAATTGGGTCATGACAAGGAAACCTGTGATTTCAGGTGAGTAAGTCAGATTTGATACTGCTTCCAACAGTATTTCAGTCATGTCACTGTGACAGATCGATGACTCAGGAAAGCCGTAAATGTTGCAGGTCATTAGACATTTACCATTTTTGGTGAAACCCATGAGCAAAGGTATGACGCTGACATTGAAGCAAGAAACATAATCACTGAATTTCGGACTTCAACACACAACTAGAGTTCGGGGGGGGGGGGGGGGGCTGGGAACATACTCTCAAAATGTTGTTAGGTTTTACCCTAGAAAAAAAAATGTCTTGAAGGGCTGAATGAAAAATTGAGAATCTGTCCCAAATAATAATGTCCCACCCTCCACCCCTCTGAATATTAAACAGTTGGGCTCTTAGCATTGGTGACTAACATAAATTTGTTGCAAAACACTTTTCATATCTATTGGCAAGCAGGTCAGTGTACACTTGTAGTGCTGGACGCAACATCCTGAAACAGCTGTCGGAATAAACAGGTTATCACGTGTTGTGAACATTTCATGTCATCCAAGCACCAGATTACCCTTGCCAGTACCCTTGTTTTGCTTGTGTTCTGATAACAGCTATCAGTTCATGAATAAGCACAACTGATTGTTCAATCTTACCACACTCATGAAGACATGAACAATTCAATCACAGCCATGTCTCTATACAGAGCTCATTACAAGGATATTTATTCTTGTTTTGCAGGGTTAATTCTAGGCATGAGCATTAGCTTATTATCATTACAATGGGCCAAGTGTTAACTGTTTAGATGACATTTGTTGTAAATATGACAGATCATTTGAAAAACAAGAAAACAGCATTATCACCATCCCCTGATATGGGGCACGAAGTATTTTGTTTGTTCATATAGTAGTGAATAAAAACAATAAAAAAAAGAATCCTATAAAGCCTTCAGAAGAGATAGGAACTATGGGCACTTTGTGTCATCAGAAATAAAGACTAAATGTGACATTTCCTGCGGACTTGGGGCTTGATATCAGCCTCTGAGCAGGTCTAATTAAAGTCCTGCACCAGGTTTGTTTCTTTCTTTGTTGTTTAACACTATCCTCAACAATATTCCAGCCATTTTCCAGTGAAGCAAAAATCAGTGATTGATAGTGATTGATAAACGACAAGTTTAATTTATTTGTGACAAAAAACAAGACAAGGTTCTGGGACTAACCAGACGAAAAATATTGCAAGACATACACATACAATCTGAGATTGGATGCAAATAGTTTACAAAGCAAAGACGCAAAGAAGCATGGCTTTTTGAATCATTAAATTTATCAAAACTGTAGCTTGCTTGTTACATATTTGACATTTTGTTTTCAGGCAAGAAATAAACTAAAAGATCAGAGTGTCAATTGTGGATTTTCTTTTATCTGAAAACTTAAATACCCATCTAAAACAGGCTTAATACAACTGAACATCTGCAATGATATTAAAAAATCAATAATAAAACATGGAAATCAAGTGAAGCATGACATAGATCGCAGCCTTGTAGTCCCACATTCATGCCTTGGACACCCAAAATATACTTGTGAGTCTCCCAGACTTGACTGTAGACAGACCCAGGTAAATCGCTGATATTACTTCTGTTTTTAACACTGGGCTGCATTTAGTTTCATTGAATATGAATAAAAAAGTAAAGAATGAATTTTTCAAAATAGACATTTCTGTATCTTTTGATAAACTGGTTGTATGATAGATTGATCACATAATGCAGTGCAAACTTTTCACTCAACATGCTCAATTCTGTCAAAATCAGTTTCTTTGACATATCTGATTGAATCTGCAACATATTGAATGATCACCATGGCAACATTTCCTACCATTTGATCCTCCTCCCCCGGATTGATGTAAATTCGATCCGACTTCATCGGTGGTGGACCAGTCTGTCCCATCTTCAGCTTAGACCCTGAAAACAGAACATGTGAACAGTCAGGTCATGAAACATATCAGATCATGTAAACAGTCAAATCATGTAATTTATCAGATCATGTAGAGTCATATGTCAATCATGACATCAGGCCATGTAAACAATCAGACCATGTAAAACATTAGATCATGTAAACAGATCATGTAATACATCAGATCATGTAAACAATCAGACCATATAAAATATCAGACCATATAAAATATCAGATCATGTAATCAGACCATGTAATACATCAGATCATATAATATCAATTAAAAAAATCAAATCATGTAATATAGCAGATCATGTAAACAGTCATATCAATTAATATACCAAATCATGTAACATACAGATCATGTAGTGGTAATACATCAGATCATGTAACATACAGATCATGTAAACAGTCATATCAATTAATAGACCAAATCATGTAACATACAGATCATGTAATACATCAGACCATGTAGTGGTAATACATCAGATCATGTAATACATCAGATCATGTAGTGGTAATACATCAGATCATGTAACATACAGATCATGTAGTGGTAATACATCAGATCATGTAACATACAGATCATGTAGTGGTAAAATATCAGATCATGTAACATACAGATCATGTAGTGGTAATACATCAGATCATGTAACATACAGATCATGTAGTGGTAAAATATCAGATCATGTAACATACAGATCATGTAGTGGTAATACATCAGATCATGTAACATACAGATCATGTAGTGGTAATACATCAGATCATGTAACATACAGATCATGTAGTGGTAATACATCAGATCATGTAACATACAGATCATGTAGTGGTAATACATCAGATCATGTAACATACAGATCATGTAGTGGTAAAATATCAGATCATGTAACATACAGATCATGTAGTGGTAATACATCAGATCATGTAACATACAGATCATGTAGTGGTAATACATCAGATCATGTAACATACAGATCATGTAGTGGTAATACATCAGATCATGTAACATACAGATCATGTAATACATCAGATCATGTAGTGGTAATACATCAGATCATGTAACATACAGATCATGTAGTGGTAATACATCAGATCATGTAACATACAGATCATGTAGTGGTAATACATCAGATCATGTAACATACAGATCATGTAGTGGTAATACATCAGATCATGTAACATACAGATCATGTAATACATCAGATCATGTAGTGGTAATACATCAGATCATGTAGTGGTAATACATCAGATCATGTAACATACCAGATCATGTACAGAGCTCCAGATAAGCTGCGTATCTGCGTAAAATACGCATCAGAAATGCAGAAATACGCAGTAAAATAAAATTCAAGGGTATCAAATACACAACGAACATTACAAAGACCCTACAAAAATAAAACTTGTGCGTATCATCAAACTTTTGTGAAGTAACCCTGTGTATACGATTAGCAAATCAGCAACTTATTTTGAAATTATAAACGGACATTCCGTCAACCTTGCCAAACTCCACGATGACAGTTACATCATGATCATTTGCCATCACACTTTCTTGTGGAAGTATCGTGGTATTTTTGAGTACTATAAAGCTATCGAACCCACAGACACCAGTTTGCAGGGACTAGATGAATAGTGTTTTTAAATATTTAACTTAAATACCCACATGTGTAAAAACTAGTGGGTAACAGAAATTTGAATACCCAGATAGAATTACTGATACCCAATGATTTTAAAATGCATGCATAAAATACCCACAACACCAAAAGCTTGTCTGGAGCTCTGTTGTAATACATCAGATCATGTAATATACCAGATCATGTAATACATCAGATCATGTTACATATCAGATCATGTAATATACCAGATTATGTAACATACCAGATCATGTAACATACCAGATCATGTAATATACCAGATCATGTAATACATCAGATCATGTTACATATCAGATCATGTAATATACCAGATTATGTAATATACCAGATCATGTTACATATCAGATCATGTAATATACCAGATCATGTAATACATCAGATCATGTTACATATCAGATCATGTAATATACCAGATTATGTAATATACCAGATCATGTTACATATCAGATCATGTAATATACCAGATCATGTAATACATCAGATCATGTTACATATCAGATCATGTAACATACCAGATCATGTAATATACCAGATCATGTAATACATCAGATCATGTTACATATCAGATCATGTAATATACCAGATTATGTAACATACCAGATCATGTTACATATCAGATCATGTAATATACCAGATTATGTAACATACCAGATCATGTTACATATCAGATCATGTAATATACCAGATTATGTAACATACCAGATCATGTTACATATCAGATCATGTAATATACCAGATCATGTAATACATCAGATCATGTTACATATCAGATCATGTAATATACCAGATTATGTAACATACCAGATCATGTAACATACCAGATCATGTAATACATCAGATCATGTAATACATCAGATCATGTAACATACCAAATCATGTAACATACCAAATCATGTAACATACCAGATCATGTTATACATCAGATCATATAAACAGCCATATCATATAATAAACCAGATCTTGGCATATTTCAGATCATGTGGAATGATTCAACAAAAAATAATGTAGTCAGGTTTTAACATTTGGATCAGAATTGTTTTCAACCTATTGGTGAAGTTAATTTCAGTTTCATGGGTCAAATGGTTTATCCTGCAATGCAAACAAGAGGCCCATAGGGCCTGTATTGCTCACCTGGATATTTACGCAATCATGACAAAATATACATTTGCATTGTACATGTTTATAATTCTGCAAATATTTCATAATTTTGACTCAACATTTAAAAGGGGTGGATTGCAAATCTGACAGCATGAATGTGTACTTCTCTAGATACAAATGTAGCATAAAGATCTGAACCATTTCCATGTTATGATCAAGGATCTAAGTTTCCAGACGCAAGGCTGGACCCCAGGGTGAATCATATTGGCATTAATGTAGTGTTCTCTTCATAACAAACGAATGTATACAATGTAGCTGTTTATTATAGGGTGGGTATAATATCGGTTTGCAGACAAAAAGATGAAACATTACAATGTTGCAGCTGTTCTTCCAGAAAAAATATACAATTATCAAATCTTCGTACTGTACAAGTAAAAGTTCAACAGCAACTGGCAAAAAATATTATAATAGTCATGTTTCACAATAACCTTAAAGATGACCTTGTCCATTGATTGACATTGCACCAAAATAAGATGTGGCAGGATTTGTAAAGATGTATGACGTTCTCACAACACGAGCCAAACAAATACTACTCATCAATGTGGAAAAAGACCATTGTAGGACATCCATTAATGCCAATTATCTTTGCGCTATATTAAAAGAAAATATGAGACAACTTCTGTTGAATTTTTATCTCAGATTTTACCTTAAATTGATGTGGTAGGGTTTCTATTTCATGACTTTGACCTTTTTAGGATATGTGCCAAAGAATTCCCTAGACCCATTTGGAAGAAGTGACTTTTAGTCCATGGAAGAAAATCTCTAATGTCAACAATCCTTGTGTACTAGTCATTAGAAAATCATTGTTATCGGTGGTGGCAACAGTCAGAGTCCAGAGTGAGTGAGTGAGTATGGTTTTATGCCGCCTTTAGCAATATTCCAGCAATATCACGGCGGGGGACACCAGAAATGGGCTTGTCAGAGTCCAGATGCTTATGACTAAGAAAAGGTTGGTTGGTTGGTTGGTTTGTTTGTTGTTTTACGCCACATTCAGCAATATTCCAGCCATATGACGGCAGTCTGTAAATAATCAAGTCTGGACCAGAAAAGCCAGTGATTGATATCATGAGCATCGATCCACGCAATTGGGATTGATGACAGGCTTCAACCAAGTCAGCGAGCCTGACGACTAACAAAAGGTTCATGGCAACATTTCACAAAAGGTTCATTTTGTAAAGAGTTTTAAATGAAAATATGGCAGTAAACAAAACAGAAATAAAACACAAATTGTAACACGTAATAAGGTACACTAAGTTGAAAACTGTATAAACAACATACACCTATTTACCCACATTTTAACAAATTTGATTCGTTTGTTTTCTTAATGCTGACTACCTGATGTATTTGGTCGCCTTTAACTATGGTGTAGTGTCATCAACCTGTATATCCTTTTACGCTTGCCACACACCCATCTTTCTTACACTACACAATAGCAATGTTATGTAAATCCCCCAGGTCATGGATCAGGCCAAGGATGAAGGACAGTGACACATGATGCATCAGGAAAAGTACTTGCGTTTCAGGTAACATGGAACCAAGAGACCATGTAGAATCATGTTTTTATGTACCTTTTTGTTTAATGTGAGAGTGAGTGAGAGAGAGTGAAAACACTGCAATAACTTCCAGTTATATCACAGTGTGTCAGCTTTGGTGACAACCACGAGCACGGTTATGGTCCTGACAAACCTAGAAACAAAATCAGAACAAACCAGGAATCACTGTTTGTTGCTTATTGTCACACTCAGCAATATCTCAGCTAAATGACAGCGGCCTGTGAATAATCAAATGTGACCCACAAGTAAATATCCCAAATGGGCGTCCTCATTGATACAAAGCCATTTCATTTGAGGGTTTTGGATTACAGAAAGGGCTGGGGAGGACAATATTATGGTTCAGGGACTGTGAGATAGGCAAGGCTGGTTGTTAACTCGACGGCACATTCAGAAAATCTTGAGTGAGTGAGTGAATATGGTTTTACGCCACTTTTAGCAATATTTCAGCAATATCACGGCGGGGGACACCAGAAATGGGCTTCACACATTATACCCATGTCGGGAATCGAACCAGGGTCTTCGGCGTGACGAGCGAACGCTTTTACCACTAGGCTACCTGACCGCCCACAGAAAATCTTGAATACTTGGAATTGTAAACATGGTAAAGAGTTATATTTTTAGGGGCATCATGCTTTGAAAAATACAATCTCAATGGCTCAACATTTTTATTTGATTTTAGTGTTGTTATGTTGACTATTACTACAATAAGCTGAGCTTACTAGACCAAACAGAATCTGGCTTGGGTGATGTACCACCAGCAGATCACTGATCAATCCTGTTTGTGGAATTCAGCTTCTTTACACAACTATTCCATAATGACAATGTTAATACTGATAGTTTCATAAACATAACTGCAAATGATTCAGTGTTAGAAATTGGCACTAGTCCTGTAGTCCTTACCAAACTGCAATAGTGAAGGTATCCTAAGGACTAGTAGAAATTGGCCCATTTTAAGGTTTTACTATGTTATCATTATAAGGACTAGTGCACAAAAAATGTTAGTTTCTAACCCTGATAATGATAAGTAATATTGTTAAACTAGGATAACAAATATTTGTTTGCAGGGAAAACTATTAACATTTATTATTTAGGGGCCTTTAGGGACCAAAGAAATAAATATTAGGAGCCCAGGATATGATCAGTAGGAATCCATAGCTGTAGGGAAAAATAAATATATAAAAATTAAATAAATTATATCTACTATCTTGAGGCATTTGTATGGACTTGTTTCCTCTCTAAACAATGTGAACACCACAACACGCTTCACGCTGTTTACATTCCATATATTATGACAACATAATAGGTAGTCTTGTTTATCCATACTACCCATCTCACAATCTGATGTCTGGATTATTGAATGAAGAAGTACAACAGTACATACAAATATATATAAATTGGGCCCCAATATGTTTTGTAATATGTATCGCACTACATCTCAGAATTGTGATATTCTGCAATACTATTTATGTACCAAAACCCCTACACCAATACTTTAGTAAACACATTTAAATTGTAAACACATATTTTTGAGAAACAACCATTAATACACATACAGTTAAATAACCGGTCGTTATTGCAATATAAGGAAGCTTGTGATGCAATATTCACGAAAGATTATCAGTAAGATTTAAATGTAATGAAATGATACTATACTTTGCATATGTAAAAAATATATATAAAATTTACTACCGACATGGCTTTAGATTCTTGGCGACTGTCTTTAAAAATGTCCCACAGACAGATTGCCTACTTTCAAATTAGTAGAGGGTTTGCCCTTGCCTTCAAGTCCTCGGTCATAATGATCCTTTGTTCTTAAGGTGGTCATACAGTCCCTGCTGTTTTCCGTCATCACAGAATATTTTACACAAATGTCCAGTCAGGGCTTAAAGATACCTGTCTTGCAGAAAATCACATATTGTGCAGAATTGTTGTAGAATTCATCGAATACACTGCAGACGTACTAAACATGTTAACGGTGAAGTTAATTGTTATATCAACGAAACTGTACCGAAAAACTGGTCCGAAAATGTACGTATGTCTTTATGGTTACACTAATGTGACACCTTGACTATGACAGTGCCATGTAATGTGACACCGTGACAGTGCTATGTAATGTGACACCATGACAGTGCTATGTAATGTGACACCATGACAGTGCCATGTAATCTGACACCATGACACTGCTATGTAATGTGACACCATGACAGTGCTATGTAATGTGACACCATGACAGTGCTATGTAATGTGACACCATGACAGTGCCATGTAATCTGACACCATGACAGTGCTATGTAATGTGACACCATGACAGTGCTAGTAATGTGACACCATGACAGTGCTATGTAATGTGACACCATGACAGTGCTATGTAATGTGACACCATGACAGTGCTATGTGCCACATGTCTCAAAAACAAACAACCAGTTTTTGTATGTATCCGTCATACACAAACTCATGTCCAAAAACCTCGTCATGCCAAAGAGGCTAGGGACCTGAGCGGAAAGGGTCGAATAGGTGACGGACACTTATGAAGGTTACAGATAGACTTTAGTCTATGGACACTTAGGAGTGACCCCGATGCCATTTGGTATGTATACGAGTCCCATTCCGTATTCTACAAGGAAATATCAATAAACTGGTGCATTGTCAACTGAGTAACCATTGGACATGCAGCTTTTCAAAACTGACCATCCTTCAGCAGAATTGACCGTCTCTGACTGTCGGGCAGGCAGGTATTTCGAACAGTGATGCCGTGGTTTTTATGGGATATTGTGGATCCTCATAAGGAAGTAGGAGGGCAGAGGCATAGCTAATGACGCGACGGGGGTGAGTCAGCTTTCGAATCATACGAAGTGTCGGCCTTGTGAGTGAAAGTGATTGGAAGGAAATTCCGCGAGCTTCCTGTTGTAAAAACAATTTGACATGAAACTACTTTATCCCACTAATTTGACATTCTTGTGAGAAGAATAAATGCAACTGAAAATGTGAAAACATTAAAATAAACAAAAATACCCTGACAAGTGCATTTATTTGCAGGCTTCATGTCTTCAGATGCAATGCTTGAAAATGCATATAAAGTAGGGGGTACAACCCCAATTGATTTATTTCAATGGTAGATAAATAGTGTTCGGTCTGGCAATTTTTGGATGTGTGCTCTGTGAATAAATTAATACCTAATGAACTGCATTCCTGTGCATTATAATGAAAACTAACAAAGCGAAAATATGAAACATAAAATATGCATAATAGTTCCCGTTTACAATCCATTCTTCCACCTGAGTTAAGTTGAAACTGAAAAAAGTACATATTGAAAATAAAAATGCTTCATAAACTGGCGTCTGCTATAAAATGCACCGCTGCAGGCTATATAAAGTAAACACATATTGAAAACTCTCAAAATCGCATAGCGTGTAGTGATGATAGATCACTGAGAGCAGCTTATGTTCACTCTGTGACCCCTGACATCACAGGGCATTAATTCACTTGTGTATCTGGCAACACAATTTCACAAATCATGTCATAGGGGATTGTGATGTGTTTGAAATGGTTTTTGAAATGGTATTCTAAAGGTAGGCCATAACATCTGACAACACTGTAGGACAAGCACATACCTGACCGTAACACTGACCTATTGTCAATTTTGTTGTACCTTCTTGAGCAAGTCTGTAAGATGAGTGCAAACTCTACTGCACACAGTTGTTGACGCAAGGCTTTCTTATCCTATTACTGGGTAATTGGCATATATCTTTCAAAACAGTTTGGTATTTTCAAAACACTGATAAGTAGGAGCCATTCTATACTAAACTAAAAAAGTAAGGGATCATGACTACTTTTATGATATTGTGTCCTCAGTTTTTACAACAAAAAACATCCCCCAAAATATTTATGATCTTTAACGTTTTTTGGTCAGTCAAAGACATACATCTTTGGTTCAGTATATTTCGTGTCATCAAAATTTCCATTCATCTTTCTCCATGTCTCTTTTTGACAACCTGCAATGTCTTGTGTCTGTATGCAAACTAGGGCTGTTACGATTCACTCGCATATTCGGTGAATTGAACCGTATCCATTCATGAATTGAATTCGTTATTCGTGGCCACTAGAATCGAATATATTTATGAATATTCAAGCATGTGCACATACCCTGTACCTAAAAATATTCATAAGAACATGTTATTTGCCTAGATTTCTTCAAAGACAACACTCTTATAATAATTGGTTTAACAGTATTGTGGTCACTGGTCATTGTCACATTTGAGCAGATACTCGTACCTGGATAAGTCCAGTTTATAAATGTGTAATGTATTAATAATTAACAAACCATGTCTAATAATTAATGTTGTTAATGTTTCACTGAATATAACAAATAATACATTCACAGCTGACTTTTTATGTTATTCGTGAATTAATATTCGTTACCCTATTTTCGTGATACAAATCGTATACGCCTCATAGTGTATTCGTTGCAGCCATTATGCATACTGTAGGGTAAACAAAATTAAAGAGGGTCCATGAGAGCAGGCAGATATTTGGGATTTTCAGCAAGTTGCCAACCTAACAGGATGAACATATTGAGCCCTACAGGTTATCGTGGCCTACTCGTAAAAATTGAGAATGGATGCAAAAACTGTCTTGGTGATCGAAATTAGTTCTAAAAGTATTCTCTCTTTGAATATTGAGACCCCCTAAACTTTTAATTATCAACATTAGGGGTATGACAAGTACCCCTTCATTGCTATGTTTAATTTCGAATACTGTAAAGATCTACTGCCAGTCCCATTTGACACAAAAACGTATGTTGGAACGATTGAACCTAATCATGAAACTCTGGACCAAATTTGTCTTTTTCTGGGTTGTCCGGCTACCCAATAAGCTATTAAAGTAACAATGAGATGGTTAAGAGTTGTACTCCTCATTCTGTATCCTAGAATCCATGGATATATGCAAGCACAACACTCGCATGTCCCATGGACAGTCATGCATGGATTTTACCTTACATTTTGTCAGTCATTTTCTATGGTTCACGATATCATGACGTATGGACCCAAACCGTTTTTCATTGTATATATCTCGAAGTAACACATAAAAGGTGGAATGTTCGGCTGAATATTTCTCTGCCTATATCGGGGTCATGTTTATATGTATTGTATACACGCAGACACTCCCAACCGCATGGCCATATATAAGCAGTCACGCAGGGTTCATCTTGTTCAGGGTATCTCCGATATGTGACCAGACCTGTTTACACACAATGTGTTGAATCTTGACACCAGATGTGAAAACGATAGAACACATAGGGGATGTTTATTTCTTAATAAAGACAATGTGTAACATTGTAAGAAAACTTACCCATGTTTTCGTCTTTCATTCGTCGTAGAAATTACCTTGTTTGGATGCTAGCTCCGCGCCATAACTATGAACTATAAGATGACCTTCTCGCTTTTGTAACGTCATTGTTGATTGGTGGAGACGGCTGACACGTGATAGATACACATGTATTTCGTCTGCTAGCTGTGGGGCCCACTGTGTTAGTGGAGGCGCACCATGTAGAGTTACGTCACATCATTTCTGACGTGTGTTGTGCAATCATCAAGGAACAATTTAAGGAGTGTTTGTGGAATACTGATTAAAAGAGATGACCAGTTAGTTAGTCGCTCAAAGCAGAGACCATATACCGTTATATGGTCTCTGCTCAAAGGTTGCAGGGTGTTTGAAGGGGTGTATTTGTAAACATAGATCTAGGTCGAACTTCGCAGCACGGCCTCGCCGAGTTGGTAAGGTAATTTTCACAACAACAAAAATTAGGCTTACAGAATTTCGTCTTTAAACGTTCGATGGGCAACAATGCAGTTTACCGGGCGCAGCCCGAGCTCTACCATCCGCACAATTACCGCGCTTTAGTGCCACCGCTGTCTCGTTATACCGTTACCGTGCCTCACGCTCTGGTGACTCTCGCTTCACGATCCAACACCCGTTCTTGGTCTTAGGGAAACTTACACATCTTTACGATCAAACACCCGTTCTAGGTCTTCGCCCGGCAAAGTGCACTACTTATGGGATCGTGAAGCGAGAGTCACCAGAGCGTGAGGCACGAGACAGCGGTGGCACTATAGCGCGGTAATTGAGCGGATGGGAGAGCTCGGGCTGCGCCCGGTAAACTGCATTGTTGCCCATCGTACCGGGCGACATTCCGGATCGACTAGGAATCTCTGAACATCGATCACAACAGATTGATCCAAATTTAATGATGACAATGAGACAGATGTCATTCCATCGGAACATAATTTTAAGTTTTCGGACGGCCATGTTTATTTCGCTTACTCGCGCTATAGCGGGGGTGTACCATCACACAGATATTGTAAATACTCAGATGATGGCTTAATTGTTTTCAAGAGAAAATTGTCTTCTTAAATTGAATGAGATGTTTTAAAGTTGTTGATGTGGTTAGAGAGAAAACTACGTGTGATTTATAAGCGTCCGAAAAACCATAACACAGGGATATATGTTTTGCCTACCTATTTTTCGGTTCTTCAAAAGATCTCTAAAGGGGATTAATTTCTATGACCGCACGCTTAAAACTAGTTCGCCCAGTTCAATATTACAAAGAATAACTTATATGTTTTGTTTGTTGTTTAACGCTCCAGCTGTATGAGGGTTATCTGTAAATAATGAAGTCTGGACCGGACAATCCTGTGATTGACATCAGGAACATCGATCTACACAATTGGGTTACGATGACATGCATGATTAGTATCATCCATGCCAGCACAAGTTGCCGAAGACCAATTGTAACCCGGATCATCCTCGGAGGGACAAAACTGGTGTGTTAATACTGCTCTTTTAACGGTAAACTACGAACATAATATAAGACCAGCAGCAGCAGCGATATCACGTAGCGATAAAGTGAACTATATATGTAAATGCAACATTTCTTTCCTCCACACATCTTTTCGGTGTGCATTTGATTAGATTTTGCGTTTTTGATACTATTGGTTACATATTTTAAAACAAACATGCGGGCAAAGGCGCTTATTTCTGTCCGTGGAATAACATTTAGTTGATTTCTGCTATAACGCGACAATAGGGAATCAAAACAGTGGAAATAACATTTTCCCGTCAACTTACTGTACCAATTATCATGGTTATCGCCATCGTCTTTACCCATGTGATCATGCGCATTGTTTCAGTTATAAATATTACACTTTTTAGTAAATCAATTTGTTTATTCATCAAAATGAATAAGAAATGCTATAAACAATTTGTCTTCCAAACTGACAAAAACCAATATCCCCCCAATTCGATCAACACATGCAACAGATACTGTTAATAACTCGCCTTGTACCAAAACGTGGTGGCGCCTGATTAAAGCGTTTATAAAATCACGCAACGATAACAGCCAACCGTCCTGTCGCACTCACATCTTGTTTATCGAAAGTCTTTGAGAAATGTGTATTTAAATATGTATTCAACTTCCTAAGAGATAACGACCTACTAACAAATTTCGAATCAGGATTTATGTCAGGAGATTCCACATCAAATCAATTAACCTATTTGTATAATTTCATAGCTAAAGCTCTTGACGAAGGAAAAGAAGTTAGAGCAGTCTTCTGCGATATAAGTAAAGCCTTTGATAAGGTATGGCATAGAGGAATTATTAATAAACTAAAAACTCATGGTATTCAAGGCGAACTATTAAAATGGTTTGAAAGTTATTTAGAAAATAGAGTACAACAGGTAGCAATTAACGGGTACAAATCTGACAAGAAAGCTGTACTAGCTGGAGTACCTCAGGGCTCAGTCCTTGGACCACTTCTTTTTCTGATATACATTAACGATATTGTATGTGATATTGACAGTAACATTCGTCTCTTTGCAGATGACACTTCATTATATGTTATCATAGAAGATCCATCAGTTGCTGCTACCTGTCTTAACAATGATCTAGATATAATTTCACAATGGGCCCGTAAGTGGCAGGTTACATTTAACCCAAATAAGACCGAAACCATCCAATTCTCACGTAAAGCTAAACCGTCTCTAAAGCCGAACCTACTTATGGACGGAACAATCATAAAAGAAGTCAAAAGTCATAAACATTTAGGAGTGACACTCCAAAGCGACTGTACATGGAGTGATCACATTAATGATATTGTACAAAAAAATCGCCCTATGATCAGTTGTCTGAGGAGTTTTAAATACCGGTTATCACGTAAAACCTTGGATACTATGTATAAGTCCTATATCTAGCCAACATTTGACTATTGTTCGCATATTTGGGATATCGCGTATATTAGAAAGCCTACATCTTGATGCCCTGAGAACTATATGTGGTGCCGTTCGTGGCACAAGTCATAAGAAACTTTATAACGAAACTAAATCTCAATCCTTGCAAGATAGAAGATACTGCCAAAAATTAATTTTTTTCTTTAAAATGTATAACAACCAATTCCCAAACTATCTTTGTGATTTGATCCCAAACTTTGTCTCCGAAACTACAAACTATAATTTAAGAAACAGTTCTGAAATACAAGGAATTTATAGCCGTACTTCCTCTTACGCCAAATCCTTTTTACCAGACACAATACACTTATGGAATGCTCTACCAAAGTCCAAAGAGTCAAGTAGTCTGTCAGAATTTAAAAACCTAATTACGAAAACCGAAAATAAGACTTATTTTGACCTTAGCTATGGCACTCGATTCTGTCAAATCGTTCACTGCCGCCTCAGACTCGGTTGTAGCGACCTAAACGCCGATAAGTATTATAACAGACATTTAATTGACAGTCCGTGTTTCTCCTGTGGATATCAGAGCGAAAACGCCCTACATTATTTTTTTTACTTGCTGTAACTTTACTCAGATAAGACTTAATATGCACTTTTACACTACCGGTTATAACCTGGATACTATTATGAACGGAAACAATGAACTTGCTCACTCTGAGAACCAGAAATTAGTTGAATCCGTCCACGATTTCATCATCAAGACAAAACGTTTCAGCTCCTCACAAATTAATAATTAAATAAACCGGACAATAACCTCATGATTGACATTACTTTTGTTACAAACGACTTGTTAGACACACACAAGCTGTAACGTTCTATTTATGTTTTTGTATTTGATGTAATATGTACAGATGTCTATATCGATGACGTCACATCCTTCATTTCAATATGTAATATATGTTGTATTGGAGCGGTGTTTACATAAGCTGTAAAGCTTGTTCACCAATCCCAACTCATTTCAATGAATAAAAATATGTTTAAACCACACATGCTTTTCGACCTTGACAGTATATGTACTATGGATTTCGTATATACAGGTTATGCAGTTTTGGAAATATAGCTCAAATAGTTTTCAAAATTGTATTTTGGGGAAGAAATGACAGACAGATAGAAAGCAATGACAGAACAGAAAGTGCATAATCGTGTTGTTTGATATACATGTTCGCGTGAATTAGTCACGTGACACCGCCCGCGTGTTTTTTAAAAAGTTGTATTTGAGCAAGGTGATCATCGTGGTTCTTTTTAATATTTCCTCACAAGAGTCCGTTTTGTTCATCAATTTCGGTTAAATACTTCTCTCTTCTAATGAAAACGAGCAAAAGTAAAATGAGATGCGATCACATGTGCGCTATAACGGGGAGTTGGCGATAATTGGCCCTCGGCGATAACTGTTCGCAAGAGCCAGTCCATTTATTCCGTAAATACTAGTGTTGTACTATTAAGAATAGAACCATAATATACCCTGGATAATCGAGAACAATGCAGAATACATACACGGCTTCACAGTGCCGTAAATCCTTGAATAAGCACCAGTCCTTTATTTCTACAGGTCCTTAAACTCCTGCGTATATAAATATTTTCCGAGTGGTGTTTGCATCACGTTTCTCTGGATTTTGATGCAAAACTTATTAGGGGAAACAATCTTAATTTCTTAAATCCATAATAATGTTCATTTCAGCAACAGAGCAAACCCCACGTTTTCGTTTCCCCGGTGAAGCAAGAGCTCAGAAAAGACGGGCATTTTTTTAATGTTGTGTGCCGTATTTCCCAGATTAGACACCCGAGCCTATATTTGTTTCAGAAACTCTTTCCCCCGGCGTTCAATCGAAGAATTCCGTGCATAGACACTATCCGGCGTTTAACTGAGGAAAGTCGGTATATATGCGTCCTTTTGAATATGTTCAACGTGAGTAAGCGAGAATTTTAGGTATTTCAAACATAGGATGTCCTGAAACCTGTGCAGGAATATGTTTTATAACTTACTGAATTTGACCAAACAAATATAGTATAGGCATGAAAATATGATACTTATTTAGATAATTAGTATGAAGTTGTATCATTAATCCGTGTAATTAAGAGGGAATATATTACGAATTATAATAAGGATTGGTAATATTGCTGAATAAGTATATACAGTGCTCTTAGGTGAGGGCATAAGTGGGACTGGGGCCAACGAGAATATGAAGGGTGAAACGATACACCGATA